CCAATCTTTCTCAAACAATTGTACATAACCAAAACCAGTGAATTTTTTAACAATAAAAGAATTAGGTATTAACACACTATACAATATGGTGATTTGTTTTAAGTCTTGGTGACGGAGTTATTTACTTATTAAATTACTTATTAACTGATTACGAATATAGAGAGAGACAAATCAGAACAAAAAAGAAAAATATACTACCGGCTTTTCTACCAACCAAAACAACAGGAGTTTTATAGTAACCTTCACTTCACGAAGAAGGTGAAGAATGAAGGGCTGGTCCTCGGGGAAACGTTCTCATGCAAGACAAAGCCCTCGCCGATAATGGGTTGATAGAATTATCTATTGCATTAGCCATCCATCCGAAGTGTAAATTCATATTATTAAGAAACTTTATTAGGTCGAGCTATTAAAAAATATAGGAACATAGCTAGGTTATGCTAAAACAAAACATAGGATCAAGGGGTTCGTAGGTCAAGTTATTAAGAGCAGATGGATATCTCTTCACCCAAAGTTCTATCTTCATTGGCATCCTATTTGGACATTCTATATATTTTGACCACATTTAGTTGGCCACGTTATTTGGTAGCTGATGTTTTTTGAGCCATGTCAATTAAAATTGACACATGCGTTAATATATTTTATTAATTTTGTCTTTTAATTATGAAAAATAATTACTAACGTTTTGTGTCTTTCTTATAATAGTAATGTCATTAAAAAAAAATGCTTATTTATTGATATGCCCCATGTGCTTTACCGAAAATCTCAGTTTACTCTATGTAATTGGGTCAATATGCCCCATATGCTATTATTTTGTGTCTCACATTGCCCCCATTCCGTCAATTTAAACAGTAACAGGTTAATTTGCTGACATGACGTGGACATTTTAATAATTTTGTAAGTTAAAACCCAAATAAAAAATATTTTTTTTAAAAACACTTTTTTTAAGAACTTGCAATTTTTGAAGTGTTTAAAAAAGAAACCCGACAACCCCTCCTCCCACTCCCCCTCTCCACCCCCGTGGCCCCTTCTTTCTCCTCTCTCTAACTTACTAGTCCAAGACATTCAAGAAGTGGGGAAATGAATTATGTTTGACAACCCAATCCAACTACCACGGCAACCACAAGCCACACCCACCCTTATCGTCGTCATCATCATTATTGATGGTGGCCCCTCCTTTCTCCCCTCTCTAACTTACTAATCCAAGACATTAATTATGTTTGACAACCCAATCCAACTACCACAGCAACCGCAAGCCACACACCCTGATCGTCGTCGTCATCATCATCATCCATGGTGGCCCCTCCTTTCTCCCCTCTCTAACTTACTAATCCAAGACATTGAAGAAGTGGGGAAATGAATTATGTTTGACAACCCAATCCAACTACCACGGCAACTGCAAGCCACACCCACCCTTATCGTCGTTGTCATCATCATTATCCATATCCCAACCATTTGGAAGCAAATGACTGGTTGAAGTTGGAGAATATCAAGTTAAGATATGGTCTGGGGGTTTAGGGTGATGGTGCTGGGCTTTGTTAGAGCGTAGAGAGAGAGAGAGAGAGAGAGAGAGAGAGAGAGAGAGATTAGAGAGACGTGCAACATCCTGTCCCGAAATTTAACTTAATTTTCAAAATTCTAGAGTGAAAGGACAACTTTAACCTTAGGGTTCCTTGTAGGTTAGAGTTGAAGGTCCATTCGCAACAATCACTCACTATATCAAATAGTGACTGTTCAACTTCTCGGCCACCAATCAATGTCGTTGTGCACCAGTTGGCCACGCCACCTTAACGAAAAATGTTCATCTCTTCCTCCGCTACCTAGCCCAATGGTTAATTGACGTCAACCATCAAGGATTTCTATGATTTTAACGAAAAATAGGTCCAGTGGCTTTGTCCTTTTTCTGTTGGTTTTTGGGTGTTTTCCAACCATTCCAACGGCCAAATCTATCTAGTGGGGTATGGAAATCCGTTTATGTAGTTATTTTGGGTTAATTTTGGAGTTTTGAAGAATGATTTAAATACCCATATTGGGCCAACGGGCCTTTTAACCCATTTCCGGCCACTTTTTGGCCTGGTTCCGAGACCAAAAGTTGCTTCCCTTGTTAGTTTGAATGTGTTAGTATAGGTATTGGCCTGTGGTTTGGAGATTTTTCGTCAAGACACCCACTGCTGGTCGTTGCGGATGGCGGCGCATGGGCCATTGTGTGGCAGCCCATTGAGTTCTAAATTGTTTCCCTTGTCGTCTTGAGTACGACGGTATGCTCAGATTTCGATTTGGTTATCATTTGACAGTCCAACAGATATTGCACTATCATGCGATATCCGGGTTCAATAGGTTTGGACCGTTCGATCGGTCCCAATTTAAAAGTTGTTGTTCTCTGTGCCTCTAAGATCGTGTAGGAACTTATTGATTGAGAATCGAAGTCCCAGATACTCCGAGTCAATGATTCTAAGTTTAAGCGAAATGACCGTCGTCCAATCATGCGATTGGCTTAGATCTAACCACTCGATTGAGATCAAACCTTTGAGACTTGTTTAGTATACTTTGTTAGATTTATAAAAACTTTCAAATCTGGAATCAGAGGTCGTGGGCCTCACATTCCTAATTGACCTGGTGGGCCTCGTTGGCCCGATCAAGACCCTTTTGGTTGGGAGGTGTTTGTGGTTTGGTTGTTTGATTTCAAAACGGTACTTTTCTTATGAGAGTTTTATTAACTATTTATGAATTAATGTTCTATCGATTTTACTTTCTAAGCATGATATATCTACTTTTATTTTTATATATGTGTTAAATGGATTAATAATTGGATTGTGTTGCTTTTGGAAATATGGTTGCCTTCGGAGATATTGATGTCTGCGGACATCCTGGTTGCCTTCGGAAATATTGATGTCTACGGACATCCTAGTTGCCTTTGAAAATACTGTTGCCCTCAGAAATATTAATGCCTTCAGAAATATTGATGTCTTTGGACATACAGTTGCCTTCGAACATATGGTTGCCTTCGGATTGTCTTCGGACACCTCAGTTGCCTTCGAACTTCTCTACATGTGTATGACATTGCCCCATGAGTATCAAGGAAGCTCAAACCATGTAGTGCCAGGATTTGCATTCTCAGGTTGAGTATATCTCCTTGAGTCATGCAAGGGGAATTGACGAACTATTTTCTTGCTTAGGCGGAGTATATCTCCCTGAGTTCTACGAGGATTTGCATTCTCAATTTGAGCATATATCCCTAAATTCTGCGAGGAATGCATCTCAGGTCGACCATGTGTCCCTTGAGTTCTGCTAGTATTGCGTCTCGGGGCAACCTCGTGTCCCCCAAATTATGCGAGGATGTACTTGGAATTGACGGTATATTATTGGAATTGGTGGATTATGTTTGAGGTACATCTATGTGGAGAATAGTGCAGTACCAACATGTGGTACAGTTAATAGGATACTCTTGACCACCCTGCTCATATTATTTGCATAGGGTTGGCCAAGATCCCTAGCCACCTACCCGATTTGTCTACACAGGTGGTTAGCTAGTTTCCTCTTTCCCTGTTGCCTTCGGATTTTATGGTATTTCCATATACCCATTGGTGGGTGTACATGAAATATGTACTATGCGATTATCTAGAACTTATACACACTGACTAATGTCACGTACTTTCGATAAATTTTTGTTTTCTAACAATAGAAAGAAAAAAAAAGCGATTTCATAGCATAACGTCTGTGACAGGAGTTTCTAAATGACTACCAAAGTTATGCATGCGTGTATGTTCTACATTCGATAAGAAGGTATGAGGACATATCCATGATCTCCCAGTAACTGATAAAAAATAGGTTTTTATTCATATATGTATGTTTTACATTCATCTATAATATAACATATTTGTTTTCATTTAATATTTTGTCACCGTGGTAGGATTTCATTTAGAAAAATTATTTCAAGCTGTTAAATTTAGCTGATTTTGGTTTGAGTGAATTACACTCTGCATCTTATCACAAAATGTCCTTGAGATTCACAATATTATCAAGTTATTATGTCTTTTTTTTTGTCACGACGGGATTTGAAGGTTAATTCTAGAGCTCAAAATACGCGAGTCCCATAGATTCACCTCACACTTTATGGTTTGCTATCTCTCTTAGTCTTGCTAGGTTTGCATTTGTAGTGACGTGTCAAGTTTTGTTGATGATCATAAGATGTGAGTCCCAGTGGCTGTCCTAAGGTCATAAAGGAGGTTTAGGAATTTTTATAGGGGTGGGCTATTTTATTTTTTGGGAGATCTATTTTAGCTGTTGTTCCAACCATGGTGGTTAACACCATCAATGCGTAGACAAACAGATAAACGTAGAAAAATATAGAAATGTAGAAAAAAAGAAGAGAAACAGAGAGAATAAAGAAGGAAAGAAAGAGAGAAGAAAAAGAGAGAGAGAGAGAGAGAGAGAGAGAGAGAGAGTGTTTGTGAGGAAAAATTGACAGCTACAAGCCAAGGAAGCTGTCAAAGCCATGCTTGAGTCTGGTTCATTGATGGCTCTCGAAAGTTGCACGACAATGCTCCAAAGTCAATCAAACCATTGGGAGTATATTTGGTTTACTGAGAGGTGGGCTTATTTGATTTATTTAGATTCGGCTCATAAAATCAGTACTGGGCTGGGGCCCACTACAACCCAAATGTGAATCCGCTTATATACCTTCATTCGATTTATTTGTAACATTTAAATAGAAAAAAAAAAGAACAAACAATATATAATCCACAATGGAGGCAAATGACATTTGATACATTCTCAAATGAATTTAGTACCAAGAGCAAAACAGATGAATATCACAGATGACAATGGAGTAATCAAATTGAAGTATATCTATTAAAATCCTATACTCCCTGTTGTAAACAAGTATTTAGAAGCACAACCAATCCAAAGGTAATGTTTGATATCATACACAATCCATTGAGTTGCAGTTTCTCATCAACACACACTTCCAAAACAAGGTCCTCCATGCCCACTTGGGTCATGAATCATGATCTGATGATCATCCAAAGGTAATGTTTGCTATCATAATTCCCACTTGGGTCATCCATAACACGGTCCTCCGTGCCCCTAAACACCACGTGCAAGAGAACCAAGGTGTAGTTGGAGCGGAAATGGGTCAAGTTCTGGGCCAGTCGGGTCGTGGCCTCGGAGAGATTGGAGGGGAGGCTGAGTGCGGTCGGCTCCAGGAGTTTCCCCCACGACCAAAGCGTGGCAATCGCTGATTGGCTTACTTCCTTGACCTGGGACACCAATCCGATGGACATTGTAAACTGGGTTCTTCAATACCTTTGGTTTTTAGGCCGGAGAATGCTAAAATCTGAGCAAAACAGAGATGGGTTTCATCTTTGTGTTTCTTTCGTTTCAGTCTCTCTCGCTGCTAAATGGAGAAATGGCATTTGGTCAACGGAGTTTACCCCCGCTTTAGGATTAATCGGATTTGCTTTGACAGGTTTTGGTTCAACCCAATCATTGGGGCCCAGTCTAAATCCAAGCAAGGGCTACTTGGGCTAAGCAAAGCCCAGTGTTGAAGAAAAATAAAAATTATTCTTACAAACGGCTCACTTTAATAAGTTCATCATTTACTGATTAAAAGGGGCCAAGCAAAGCTGAGGTCTACACTAAAACCTCTAAATCTAACTGCTTTAATTTTTTAACTGAAAAGACCATATTTTAAAATAGTCTAATCTTGAAAGAGAGGGATTCGAATTCAAAGATTCTAAACTAATACAAACATTTAATTGTGTGTTTAAATAATTTTCAATTCAAGTCATTTTTTGAAGAGATGACCTTTGAAGAACTAACTAAAAAATAGACGGGCTATATCATTAAAATACAATGCTAACCAAACTGCACAAAAGTGCCCCTCTCAAATAAGCTTAAAATCAAACAAGAAATTGGGGATTGCAATATTGCCCAAATGGTTCATGATACCATGTTAGCGTAACAATCTCATAGTAGAAGAAAAAAAAGAAAAAAAAAGAAAAGAGAGAGAAACAGAGAAGATATATATGAAGGAAGATCCTCTTCTCATAGTATTATTATTGCTCAGATATATAGATTATTACATTGATTGAGAGTATATATCTCTCTTCTCTTACAATATATAACAACTCTTAACAACTCTCTCAGCTTAAACAAACTCTTAACAATACAACACTATATCAGCACTTATTTCATGACACTTGTCAACCCCGTACTGAGGATAGAAAACTATTGATAAATAGTAAATATGGTCTGCAATAAGGTGAGAACCAGAAGGATAATTCCTGCAATCAAAGAAATAATTGTCCATGGGTTAGCAAAGTAGTCGCGCCTCAATATTTCTAACTGCTTGTGCCATCGAACCTGGTAATATTTATTCACTTCAGCGCAGAGTTTGTCATAGTGGAACTCTTTGACAAAGGTGTCAATGTAAAGCTTGTTAAAGAAGTTAGAACCATCTTCGACGCTCAGCCAGTTAGCTAAGATTTTTTTCTTAGAAAGAAGCTTTATATCCTTGTCGGAATTGATGAGTTTGTCCATGAAAACGGTGTAAGATGTTATTTGCTGAGAACGACCATGATAGCATTGCTCAAGGCGATGAGGTTCCTGAATAATGGTTCGGTCAACTCTGCAAGTGCTAGTTTTGGAATTGTTAAAACCCTATCTTTAAATTCGATGTTCATTAGATTATTATCCGAGCTCCTTTCAAATTTAACTCCTGCTTCTGAGAGAGCTGTTGCTGCAGGAAGTTTCTGAATTTCCGGTCCAATCTATTTTTCTTCCTTTTCTGCGAACCACCAGAGACAATTTTGGTCATTTCTATTGGAAGATTTAAAAGGTTGGAATGAGAAAACAATGGAAGTTCTTATAAGATCGCCTGAAAGTTGGATAGGATGGCCTTTACGTAAGGATTATATTGCCCCTAATTTTTATGAAATAAAAAAAGTTCTGATTATTACTTTATTTATAATTTTAATTTAAATATGTTAGTATGAAATTTGTATTGTCATTTCCTAGACTCTAGCATAGGTTGGGAGTTAGTGTGTGAATATCGTTTACTAGACGTTTTGGCGCAACACATTCAATCCCAGGTTTCCAAAGCATGACTTGACCGATATGAGGAATCTGATTTCAGGTAAATCATGACATAATAATGCATTCATTATAGGATTCCTAGTTGGAGTTATTTTCACTCAAGTATTTTTATGTTAATCTTATTTTAATAAGATTAGATTTTATCTCTTGAGATTACTTTCCTAGTTCAACTCTATTTTAATTGAAGTTAAAATATTATCTTTTCCTATTGTGACTTTGCACGTTGCTTACCTCTTAGTTAATTTGGTTTAAAGAGAGGCGTCATTACTTTGAGTCCAAGGTGAATCAAATCTCTTATTGATGATAGGTTGTGGTGCAATAGGAAGTTTAATATTCGTGGCCTATTGGGTTTCTCTCCCATGAGAGAGAACAAGTCTTGTATAAAAGATCATGTGCCATTCTTTTGTTTGTACAGTTTTTGAGATATTTGTTTTGAGCATATAGAATTCTAAGAAAAGCTGTTGTGCGTATATTTGAGATAAATCATCAAGTGTTCAATGTTTACTTGGTGATTTATCAAACACTTTAATCATTCATATTGCATTCATATGCATGTCGGTGACTCATACGGTTGAGGGCACCAAGACCGTGGTGGCGGTTTTCCTCCGGTGAGCTTGAAGCAATCGTGGCCAGTATTGCGTTCAACATAAGGAGTGTCGAAGATCATCCCGTGACAGAAGTTGAGTTACGAAGAAGTCGGTAAACATTATCTAGAATGTGTCTAGGATAAGTGTGTGAGTACTTCTTGTAATCATCTTTCTATAGTGGATTTGTGTTGGACTGAGGAGTCCCGTGAATTTTCCCCAGAGGTGGGGTTTTACCACGTAAAATAATTCTTTGCGTGTTCTTTTATTTTATGCCCAGCACGTTACAGGATTGATAAGCCATATCAATCCTGCTACCGAAGTTTATTTTTATTTATTTGATTAGAATCTTAAATTGGCCTATTCACCCTCCTCTAGGCATTTTGAGTCATCCTGCAGGTATTTTCAAAATATTCTATATATATACATGTATTAGTCATATGCATATATTAGTTTAGTCAAGTATGTGCAAAACTCCATTCTCATCAACCTTCTGGTCAAGTTCCATAAGATATCGGAAATAGGAGTTGCAATATTTGCTCAACAAGTGTAGTAAACTGAAGAAACAGAGCAGGACTACACTGAACAGGGGTTCACCGTTGCGTTTGGCCAAGGTAAAGCGATATAAACAACTGAGAACAGACCAAGGAAGCTGATTTTCTAATAACAAAAGATCATGACATACATATTGGAGCATGCAATCCATGTTCAATATGGGGTCATCCTCTTTTTCCTCGTTCAATATGGGGTCATCCTCTTTTTCCCAATGCTGGATAAACTTCCGAACTCTTTATCGTTAAAGTCAAGTGGTTCTTCATAAAAGTCACTGGCTCCTTTCCCAAACTCAATGATGCCTTTCTCCTCAGGTTCATGTAATAAAAATTCGTTAAAGCCATCGATAAATTTTTCTAAGCTTAGATTCATGCGGGAGAGAAGGGTTTTTAAATATACAAATTTATAAATAAACCCAATTCTAGACATGTATTTATAAAAAAACCAAATCACTATTTAAACATAGAAACACACCCAAAATCAACCCCAAAGTCAACTTTTGGGTGTGTTTATAAATGGGTTTTGAGTGTGTGTAATGATGGGTTTTGGGTGTGTTTATATGTTTAAATAGTGCTTGGGTTTTTTTATAATTTCAACTCCCATTTTGGGTGTTTTAGTGAAACTCCCCTTTAAATACCACTGCTTCACAGTTTCCATGCGCTGGAATTGTTTGCGACCGTCTCGATGAATGGGTCCGATTGAGATGACGTGAGGTTCATATGCCTCTGGCTTATGCCTCCGGAGCACTTGGGGAACTTTGAAGATGCAGCTTCTGACAGTCAAGGGTGATTTAGCAGCAGGGCCAAGCTTTTTGCGCATGCTCTCTTTCAATGCTTCAATTAAATTATCTTCTCCAACAATATAAGGACGATCCGCACTGCATTCTGTTTCAATAGCCATGATGACCTGTCCAACTAAGTATATATTGTCCTGAAAGTCTGAAGCATATTGCAGTGGCATAGAATCAAAAGGCGCGAATGTGGTAGTATATAGCTATCACTCTCGTTTATTACACAGGACTGTCTTAGCATGGACTATGTTTAGGGGCTGTCTTGGCTTAGCTTGGCTTGGTCTAAGTTGGATAACACTTATCTTGCGTTTGGTGTATGCTTAGACTAGTACTAGGACTAGGATTAGATTTTTTTTTAATTTTTTCATGGGTATAATGTATATATGTGTGTATAGGTGTATATATGTATATTATAATATATATATATATATACACATACATATATATTATATATGTGTATATATACATATATTATACCTATATAATATATGTGTATATAGGTGTATATATGTATATTATAATATACAGAGAGCTTCCATTGAGGGATCCCTCAAATAAGCTTATTTGAGGGACACCTCTTGTAGGGCCCACTCCGGATTGTATTTCACTAATCCAAACCGTCTATTTTGTAGATAAACATTCAAAGATCATCTCTACAAAAAATTACTTGAATCCGATATCATTTGACAATTCAATTGAGTTATTGAAATTTTAGTACTTTCTTGAAGCATTGTGTTCATTGATTTTGTAGGACACAATTAGATGTCGAAACGGTATCCGATTTGTCTAATTTTTTGTAAGGATGATCTATGAATGAAGACCTAAAAAATAGATGGTTTGGATCATTAGAAAAAAAATTATAGGATACTCTAAAGGGCGTCCCTCAAATAATTTTATTTGAGGAATCCCTCAATAGAAGGGGACTGTTATAATATATACATGGGTATAAGACATAAATATATATATATATGTATATAATAATATATAATATATATGGGTATGTTATAATAATAATATACGTGTATATATGTATACTATAATAATATAATATATATATATTATACATATATAATGTATATGTGTATATACGTGTGTATATGTATATTATATATATACATGGGTATAATATATATACGCATACATAATATATATGTATAAATGTGTATATGTGTACGTATATACGCTGACGGACCTAGGATTTTTTTTATTGGATGTGCAATTTTGAAAGGTTGAAATCTCATACCAAAAAATAAATCATGGTTTAAATAAGAAAAGAAACCTTCCAACCTAAAAAAATGTAATCATTAAAGCCCATGAAATGTAGGCCTAGCCATGTTGTTGAAAGGCCATGGATTGTTGTCTTCCAAATATACCCAAGCCAAGTAGCATCTTCCTCGAACACTCGACGACCTGTTGGACTTGAGAACTTCAACTGGAATTTCAGAGGCTAAGGCCTTCCTCAAGGTCTCCACAACCTCAATCCTCAACCGCTCTTGGAGTTTGTAAAAGCGTAACTGACCTCCTCCTCCTCCTTAACATCTCTTTGGCTGTGGCATTTTGTCAAACACTTGAAGTGCACCCCCATCAACTTGAGCAAATGGGTAATTTAAAGCACTGCCAGTGCGTATATACGTGTATATATATATACATTATAGTATATGTGTATATAAGCATAATATAATATACAATCTCATTCTATTGAGGGATCCCTCAAATAATTTTATTTGAGGGACGCCCTTTAAGGTACACTACAATTTTTTTCCCAATAATCCAAATCATCTATTTTTTAGGTCTTCATTCATAGATCATCCTTACAAAAAATTAGACAAATTGGAAACCGTTTCGACATCCAATTGTGTCTTACAAAATCAACGAACATGGTGCTTCAAGAAAGTACTAAAATTTCAATAACTCAATTGAGTGGTCATATAATATAGGATTCAAGTGATTTTTTGTAGAGATGATCTTTGAATGAGTATCTACAAAAATAGACGGTTTGGATTAGTGAAATACAATCTGGAGTGGGGCCTATAAGGGGTGTCCCTCAAATAAGCCTATTTGATGGATTTCTCAATGGAAGCTCTCTGATATAATATAATATATAAATATGGGTATGTAATAATCTATATATATAAAGCAAAAGGCAGAGAATGGTGAAATATTCAAAGTACCAGAAAATGCCATTGGTTAATTCAAACATTAAGAATTGAAATTATTAATTAAATGAGGATAATATGGTAAATTCACATTTTCATATTAAAACAAATTAAGTAGGGTGTATCCAATTCTAACTTTCAAAGACTTTTTTTAAGTGAGTGACTTTCCTAGAGTTGACAAATTCTTAATGACTTTTATATACTTGATAAAGTTAAGTGACAAACTTTCATATACTTTTGTCATAGAGTTTTATAGACTTTTAAATACTTATTTTTATTGTTTTAAATTTTACGAATAGCATTTATCTTTTATGTTGAATGAACTAGTCGGCATACATGGAACAAAAATTAGGAAAAAAAAATTGGATACAAATCCTTATTAATTGTGTATATTTTCATAATAGCTTATTAGTAAAATGCATCCAATGCACCTTTTAAATTTTTATTTATCAAATCTAATCACATAGATAAGTAACATATTCTTATCAAAAGAAATAAATATTACTCAATCACGAATAATATTTCATAAACACTCACAAACCAACAGAAATGGTCAGATTACAAGAGTCTATATTTCCGCAATTCTCCTAGCCCAATACGTGGGATGTAATCAAATTGAAAATATTATATGAAAAAATTATCCACATAATGAATTATGGGTAAAGAAACAGTACCTAAATAATAAATTAATGGGTTTAAGGGCAAAAAATTATATAATAAAATATTATATGCAAACATAGCATATGAGACAATCAATATAATAAAATATTTATATCCAAACATAGCTTTGTGATGAAATATTGATAAGCTTCATAATGCAAGCATGATGAAAAGAATAGAAGAAATATTCATCAACAGAGGGAAAGTACGCGTGTGGATGAGAAGGGAAGAAAAACATTCAAAAAATTTTACTAACCTGAACTGAAGGAAGTGGATGAAAAGATGGGTTACAAAAGTGGAGCCCTAACCATGAAGAAAAAAGACCTATCTGCTTGCTACTTGATATAACGAGGAAAGAAAGAATTGGAGACGTTTCGATTATATCTTCCTAGCTTCCCAATATTTTCATAAAATCTTGTGTAAATTAGTAAGACTTTGGTAGTAAGAATTAGCTTCAAAAGTATTGAAAAGTTATTTATTTAACAAAGTTTTTAAAAGTCATTAAGATTTTGGATACCTCAAAACTTTTAAATACTTTTTAAAACTCACAATTGAATACAACTAAACTTTTAAAGACTATTTAAAAGTCACAATTGAATACCTTCAGACTTTTAAACTCATTAAAAGTCATTAAAAGTTAGAATTGGATACACCCCCCTAAAATTAAAAACAAAATAAGATAATAAGTCCTACTTTTATGGAATATAACTACCCATTTTATCTTTTTTAATTCTAAAAATAAAATAAAAAAATAAAAAGAAAACCAATTGGCACATGCGTGAGCATGTGCCAAGGGGCTAGTAATAATAATAATAATAATAGTAGTAGTAGTAATAATAATAATAGTAATATATGTTATTATTATTACAATATAAGAATTGAAATTATTAATTAAATGAAGATAATATGGTAAATTCACATTTTTCATATTTAAAAAAGTAAAATTAAAAGAAAAATCAGATAATGAAACCTATTTTTATGGAACACAACAACCCATTATCTTTTTTAATTTTAAAATAAATTTAAATTTTTAAAAAAAACCTCTCGCAGGCGCGGAAGCGTGTGCGGAGAGGTTAGTGTGTATATATACTAACCTCCAAAAAGCTCCTTGGGCCACAGATAGGGTAGTTCCGCCCATGCACTGATGATTGAGGAAGAAGAGAAGGGAACCAATTGAGAATTGTACCTTGAGAGCAGAGGGACAGTATTTGTAATTGCCTAAAGCTCCAACTGGTAGAAGAATAAGAGAAAGCAGATTCTAGTTAAGTAAAGGAGCGACAAAACAAGAGTAGGCAGATGCAATTGAAACTGTTCAAGTACTGCTCAATATCATCAATTTATAAAGTATTGAAAATTGCTCAATTTCATCAATTTATAAAGTATCTTCTTGCTTAAAAAAAAATTGAAGTATCATCTGTATTGCATTCTGTTTCAATATATAGCCATATGATGACCAGTCCAACTATTTATATATTCTCCTGAAAGTCTAAAGCAAGTTGCAGTGACATATAATCAAATAAGCAGAGCACATAGCAAGTAAAGGCAGTAAATAGTTTGTTAGTTAGTTAGCCATCTGTAACTAATCTTATACAGCTGTATTTGACAGCTCATCATCAGCTCATCATTGTATTTTAATATAAAGCCTGTACAAATCATTCTTACGGTTAATGAGAATTACAATTCCTTTATGGTATCAGAGCCATTCGATCTTCTCTTCCGCACTCTCTCCTCTGCTATTTTTACGGTTAATGAGAATTACAATTCCTTTAGCAAGCACTCCCAATCCAATAATCGTCTCTACGTACACAAGTTTACTATCATCCAAGGTTTAAAATATCGAGGTTTTCGAAAATATTGGTGGTCCAAAAACATGAAAATATTATAAAAATATCCATATCAGTAAAAATTGTATAAAAACCACAGAAATTATGAGAAAGAGTTACCATATACTTTATGCAGAGAAGATGAATTATTAACCAAAAACATTATATTTGAGTACTTTCTGCAAATATAACTTATTTACTTTGTGTGCACGTGTGTTTTTTCTTCTTCTGGACCAGAATAAAACCAACGCCCATAGTGCAAGAAGAAAGTTTCCAAGACGTACGTACCTCTAATATAAGTTAACCAGAGATTCAACAGCAAAGATCAACTATTAGGAGAAATGTTCAATGAAAAATCAAGACGACTGAGGCAATCAATGAGAAGACAATACAAAAACTTAATTTTGAGAAATGAAAGCAGAGAACTCAAATGAAGAAAGCTAATATGAGAAAGTTATATATAGAGAAGGGAAATATAAAGATCGAGCATTACTTCAAGAGGAGGTGATTCCAAGTAAGACATGTATTTTTAAAAGAATAATGAATAAATAATTACTTAAAAGCAAACCTTTATTTCCTTATAATTTCCACACACAAAATAGTTACACTATCCTTAAGCCAAATCACTACTAAGATTTATATATGTGCTGGAAATGCTAATAATTAAGTCCAAGATGTATCTAGAAATTAGAAAAATTCAAATTCTGAATTTTTTTTTACTAATTTGGATAATCAAAATGCTGGTCCTTCATATTTTATTATAATTTCCAAATAAAAAATAAAGAAAGTGACAAGGGACTTGTTGTAACTCAAATGGTTAAGAGCAATTACCTCAACATCTGAGGTCCTATGTTTGATTTCCCCTTCTCCCAATATTGCTAAAATAAAAAAAAAAAAAAAAAAAAAAAAAAGGAAGCAAAAGTGGTGGCCTGTATGGCAAGGCAATGGAAAGTGATGGAGAACTTGACGCAAAGTACAAAGTGAGAGAGAATTAGATGCATTAATTGCTTACAAACCTCTACTAGGTTTGAATCGGAGTTTTAATGAAAACTATGGTTAGCGGAGGTACAGGCCATTTTTGGTATTTTGAAAAAAGAATGATTTAAATAGCACGCCCTTCTTTTTCCTCTCTCTTGCTCTCAATGCTCTCTTTTTAAGCCTAAACTAATATACCCAACCCACCCGATGGACGGCCCTACACTGTACAAACAATCGCTGCTTCTTTTATTTTTTTGGTCGAAAACAACCCCACTTATTTTCTTTATTTGGTAGTTTATAATCATTCTACACTTCACACACCCCTGCACGTAGAAAATAGAAAAGTGATATGTAATAGATGTGTTTTGAGGGGTAAAATTCATTATGTCAATCTGATTAGGTGTATTTTTTTGTTATTAATGAAATTTATTCGTACTGTCGAGTTTAACATGTGTGTGCATAAGGTAAATTTAGCCCACTCCAGTTTGAAATCTTGGGTTTATCCTTCAATAACTATTTATGACCGTTTGATTTCCTGGAGATCAAATGTTGTTGTCCGGCCACCTCCTTGCTTCCTGCACAAAACATCTTCTCCATCCTCCCCTCCATCAATGCCCCCACAAAATTAGAACCTATAACATCCTACATCGTATGCAAATTCGATGCGGTGAGTCACTTGGCTATGCACTTAAAATCGTGTCCATGGTATGAACAATACATTTATTCCTTGATTGCAAGTAATCAATTTCTTGAGTGCTGAACTTTCAACTTATAGAATGTGTCATCAAATTTCAAAATTAAAAATTGAATACCATGGGGGCATAATGTATTCATTTTGGTCCTATCTCTTTCAAATTGTTTTATATCTTTGCATTTAAAACCTATATTTGCTTTCATGTAGCTTCTCGTGAATCAATTGGAACCCTTAACTGAGCAGAAATTAATTGGTGGGAATTTACAACTTCCAACAATCATCCCAGTAGGTTGAAGATGCTCTATCACAAGGGATGGCGGCATTGCAGCAATCCCTGGCTGAGACATTGGCCATGTTGAAGATTTTAAGAAATATAACAATCTGGAAAAAAGCAACCGGTAACCAATTGGCTTTAGGCAAAGCCTCCTGCGAAGCCTGAAGTGGCTCTCGCGAAACTTACTGCCAAATTGGGACCTGTCAATAGGTTCGTGTTGGGGTGCAGTTTCAAAACACCTTTTGAGTGCTTAGATGTGTCTCTTGATGACTAAGTGTTCGAATTACATATATGAACGTTAGAAACACTTCATATACATGATTTAAACATAAAGACACACTCTTACATGAAGAGATGTATCCTCATTGAAGTGATACCTTTTGATTAAGAGGTGCAATTCAGAAAAGACACAAACTCCCCTGTAAATAGAGGAGGATTATTGCAAAAGAATACATATTCAATCCTATTCATTCACAAACTCTCCTCCTCCTATTTTCATAAAGCAAAATTCATCTAGAGACTATAATATGCAGCAATAGCCTCTAGACATTCTTGAGTGTCCTTGTCAATTCTAAAGTGTGTTTGGTGTTTTTCTTCGAGTGTGCACCTCATTGATAAACAACACCACTAAATCACTTCATTGTATCCACAAGACTTTTTGAGTATCCCTTTGTACCAAGGTTGTAGGAGCAAATAAATTTTGAAAGATAGCCTTTACATAACCTTTCATATCTTTCATCTTCCATAGTCATTCCCACAAGAGAGATACATATCCAAATGGCTCCCCAAGGCCATCAGGATCATCTGGAAATGTAGCAAACCATATGTCTCCTTTCACTAAATATTCTATTGAGTCACTATAATGAATCATCCCCTTTTACTCCTAGAAGGCATATCTTCTCTAGTGTCAGTACTGGGGGCATACTCTCTCATTACAAGAAAAAAGGTTAGTAGTGACCAATTTACTTGTGACCACCTTAATAATGGTCACAAATACAGTAAATTTAATGACCAATAATACTACATGGTCAGTAAATTGATTAAGAAATATTTTATATTTTTTAATGACTAAATTTTCTGACCAATATTTAAATTAGTCACTAAAAACAACTTAAAAAATAAAGCTAGCGACCAACACATATTGCAAACTAGCCTTACTTATGTTAGTAACACATCAGTGACCAATTAACTTTTTTAAACTTTATTTTTTGTTTTCAAAACGCGCGTGTTCTGAGCGAGCCTAAAGGAAAAAAAAACACAAAAAGAAAGACAAGCGAGACCAAAGAGACCAGAGAGAGCGATACCGTCTTCTTCGACGAGCGAGACCAGAGAGAGCGATACCGTCTTCTCCGACGAGCGTCGTCCTCTTCGTCTCTGTCGTTTCGATTTCTAAGTTTTCTTCCAATATCATGTGAGGTTTCTATTTCTCTTTGCTTTCAATGTTAGTTTCGATTTCATTTGAGTTAGATTTGAGTACGATTGTGACTCTGAGTGTGATTCTCTATTCCCGATTTCTAAGCAAAACTTTGTGTCCTTAAATCAGTTAGGTTTTCTTTTGGTACTCAGGCAGAGCTTGATTTTAGGTTCAATTTTGATTTCAGTTCTGATTATTGCATTTTTTTTTAATCTACTGCTTCTTGTGAATTTCAGTTTGCAGTGGACATGTTCTGATATAAACAATGCATGTCCTGATTAGACTGTTATATATTGTGTTGAATTTCACAATCCATTGATTTTCTGACCGATTTTGTTTGCTTTAGGCTAGTTTCATACATCTACCCGTAATGCAGTTGACCATGAATTTAAACAGCTGCAAATGTGGTCCTTTGAACTGAATGTTCTTCTATCTGGTCTTCTTCCAAACCCAAAGTTGGAAACCTCAGTGCTACCTTATCATCCCTTTGCCAGTACAGTTGAGGGTCTGCGTAATTATGTTTCGATCTATTCTACATTTGCAGAATGCTGCATTCGTCTTGGTTCCTGGTGGATTTGGAGATCGTGGTGTGAAAGGTATGATATTAGCTGCAAAGTATGCCAGAGAGAACAATGTTCCTTACCTTGGGATTTGTTTGGGCATGCAGACTTCCGTGATTGAGTTCGCAAGATCCCTAAGCGACATTTCTTTCACTAACATGTTTTCTTCTAATTTTAAGATCATATATCAGCCCTAATTAATTACTTGTTTTAGGTTTTGAGTTTAGAAAGGGTGGACAGCACAGAGTTCGATGAACATACACCAAATCCTGTTGTAGTTTTTATGCCCGAGATACAAATTTATGGTGATGCTTTCCTATTCAGTTATGTACATATGGCTGCAACATTCTTCCTGTGATAGTTCATTCTTTTATGTCTGCATATAGGGTTCAGGAACACATGTGGGAAGCACAGTGAGACTGGGATCCAGAAGAACGCTTTTCCAGACTCCTGATTGCATTACTTCAAAGCTGTATGTTCATTATCTATTACTACGTTCAACTTGAGATATACAACAGATAACCTGTCTGTTACTGAAAATTCAAATTATAAGTTCAGTTACCTTGTTGCATTTATACAGTAAAGTGGGTGCGGGTGCCATGTGTTCAAACACTGCCGGTCTGGAAGAACCCATGGCACACGCAATTGAACTTTTACCTTTATTGCATTTATACTGTAAAACTCTTCAACTTTGTTGGCTAGTTTATTATTTTGCAGGAAGTCTTTCCTGACATCTCAACTATATGTTGTATCTGTGACTGCTTATATATAAAAAAATCCCAGAAGACCACCACTTTGAAACTTAATTTTCCACTATTAGCATCCACTTTTAACATTCGTAATCTGGTATTGCTATCAATTTCTAGGTACCATAACTTGGAGTATGTGGATGAAAGGCATCGGCATAGATATGAGGTTGGTTGTAATTTACTTCAGGTGAAACATGATATTTCACAAGTGCTTTTATGTGGTGGACATGGTCTGATTTCGTCATGATGCAGGTGAACCCAGATGTTATTGGAATTCTTGAAGAAGCGGGCCTAAAATTTTTATGCTCACTTGTAGTGAGCATTTGTCAGAATTTACTTGGTTATAGTTGCACACAATCCTTTCTTACCATTTACTGAAAAGGATTGAATTTGAATATTTGACTGTTTACAAGATTTTGTTACTTTTCTATTCTGCAGATTTTAGAGCTTCCAAGCCATCCATTCTATGTAGGAGGCAATTTCATCCAGAATTTAAATCACGGCCTGGGAAGCCCTCAGCTCTCTTTTTAGGTACTAGTACAAACTAGTGAGCTTTAGATGTCATATACTCACATTTCCTGTTATATTGGGAGACATGTATGTGTTGCAACATGCATCTTTGAATTACCATGTTTCTCTGCTGTATCTCTAGTGTTTGATAGAGAACTTGGGCCATGCTTGTTTCGAAGTACATTACGGATTGTCTCTTTACAATTCTCATTTACATTCAGTGATGCTCTATCAAGTCGTTAAGTCTCTGTACTTCATTTGACATCTGTGACATTGCAATTCTAGTTCTTATCTTGGCAGCAACAGGGCAATTGGAAACATATCTTGACCAGCATCCAAATACAAGTTGACAGCATTGAGTCGCTGTCTCAATATTCCCAGATAATTTTTTCAAGGTAGATTGAATGTGGACGTGGATGGGGCCTAGTGTAGTAAAAGCTATTGTCTTATCTAATTTTGTTACTTTGATCAGTGCACTAGTAAAAAGATTGCTATAGCAGTTGTCCTCGACTTCATCATCAATGAGGTTAGCTTATAACTCTCATCTTATTAAAATACAATTTTTGCAAACTGCACAATATACTAATTTCCTAATTTCCAGTTATACTCGACTTTATCATCAATGAGTTCCTAATCTCCAGTTACTTCAGACAAGTGACAGATAAACTTTAAGCAACTAATTAGAGATGCGCTAGCTAGCTCTTGAGTCTAATTATTCTTGCATTTAGTTAATTCCCGGTTTAGTGCATCTACTAGTGATGAATCTTATGTTATTTGTTTTTGGGAATCACTTGACATTTAGGTTGAACTTAAGCATGTAGCATTTTGTGTTTGAGACATCTTGTGAATTTGTTGGAAGAATGTTAGATATATGGATTGCTTTTGAATGCAATGAATTATTCGATGCTATAAATTTTATCTACAGCACTGTTTAAAAGAAATTAATTGTGATTTCATATTGTAATACAATAAATAAATAACAATACAATAAATAAAGAACACGGAGAGGTAAACCTAATTAGTTACCAATTTTTTGAAAAACATTAGTGACCAAGCAAGTAGTGTTAAATAACCCGCCTTCTAGATCTTGTTCTTTGATGTAACCAATAGCAATAGACTAAACTAGCAAATATTAAAACACTTAGAAACACACAAGAATTATATTGGTTCGGCAGAACTTTTGCCTACGTCCAGTTGTGATTTCTCTAGATAGAGAAATCACCGCCCCTTTGATTAATAATAGAGATTACAGAACTTTTGCAACCCTAGAACTAAACTCAAAACTCTTGGCTGTCTCTGGCTGTTTTTCCTCTCTAAAAATAAGCCTTGCCACACCCTATTTATAGATATAGAGTTGGCTTACATGTCCTAAGGCTGATTGAATTCCTATTCCTAAGTGGATTAGGAAATTACACTTGTCCAAATCCTAATAGACTTCTGGAAATCCCAACCCAAATTTAATAAGGAAAACTGAAATTTTTCCTAATCCTTCTAGGACAAGAATTGGTATACCTCTAATTTTCCTAAAACAATCTTAAACCAACTACGACATATTTGATGAGCCAAAATCCTAACAATCTCCACCTTGGTGAGTCAAACCAAGTCTTGATCGTTGCACCCCAGAGTATCTTTGAACCTCCTTGAAGCAGCTCTGGAAATCTTCAAAAGTCTTCACCTTGGCAATCTTCTTCTTTCCTCATTGCACCTCAAGTGAGGAGGTGCTCCACTTTAATTAATCAACGAGATTGATCAAGTTCAAGCAATGCTTGAACTTCTTGCCCGACACTATCTTTGTAAGGAAATCTGCGGCATTGTCATCTGTATGAATCTTTTCAATCCAAATCTCCTTAGACTCCACCCAATTTCTGATTCTGTGATATCTTGCTTCAATGTGCTTTGATCTTCCAGAAAAAAACTTGATTCTTTGCCAAGTGAAAGGCACTTTGACTATCACACTTCAGCTTCACACAATCTTGGGTGATTCCCATTTGACTTACCAAGCCATTAAGCCAAATTGCTTCTTTCCAGCTTCGGCCAATGCAATATACTCTGGCTCTGTGGTCGACAAAGCTGTAATTGGTTGCAATAGTGCCCTCCAACTGATCGGTCCTCTTGCACATGTAAACACATAACTAGAAGTTGACCTTCTCTTGTCCAAGTCCCCTGCATAATCAGCATCCACATATCCCAACACCCTTGCATTTTCTTTTTGCTTCTCAAACATAATCCTTTGTCGCCAAGAACCCTTCCAATAACGCAAAATCCACTTGACTGCATCCAAATGTTGCTTCCCTGGATTTGCCATGTATCTGGAAACGACACTGATTGCTTGAGCTATGTTGGGATGTGTGCATACCATTGCATACATAAGGCAGCCCACAGCATTAGCATAAGGCACCTTCTTCATTACTTGCTGCTCTTCCTCGGACTTAGGACATTGTTGCGCACTTAACTTGAAATGAGCTGCTAAAGGAGTCGAAACTATCTTTGCTTCTTGCATGTTGAACTTCTCAAGAACCTTCTTAATATACTTGACCTGTGATATCCAGATCCTTCCAGTGGTCCTATCTCTCTGAATTTCCATGCCAAGGATCTTCTGTGCTGCACCTAGATCCTTCATGTCAAACTCCTTGCTCAACATCTTCTTCAAGTCTTGAATTCTAGACTTGTCTTGACAAGCGATTAGCATGTCATCCACATATAGCAATAGCAATATGATCATCCCATCTTGGAACACATGATAGTACACACAACAGTCAAATAAACATCTTCTAAAATTAATTTTCAGCATGAAGTAATCGAACCTCTTGTACCACTGTCTTGGAGACTGTTTCAGGCCATACAGGGACTTTCTTAGTTGACATACTAGGTTCTCTTTCCCATATTCAACAAACCCTTCTGGTTGAGCCATGAAAATTGTCTCCTCTAGATCCCCGTGAAGAAACGCTGTCTTCACATCCATCTGCTCAATCTCCATGTCATGCTGAGTTGCCATTGCTAAAAGCAATCTGATAGAAGTATGCTTGACTACAGGTGAAAAAATCTCATCATAATCCACCCCTTCCTTTTGTGAGTACCTTTTAGCCACGAGCCTTGCTTTGAATCTCACGGCATCTTGTTCATGTAGTCCTTTTTTCCTAAACACCCACTTGCATCCAACTAGCTTTCTGTCTTTGGGCTTAGGAACCAACTCCCAAACAGAGTTCTTGTAAGGGAGTTTCACTAAAACACCCAAAATGGGGGTTGAAATTATAAAAAAACCCAAGCACTATTTAAACATATAAACACACCAAAAACCCATCATTACACACACTCAAAACCCATTTATAAACACACCCAAAAAGTTGACTTTGGGGTTGATTTTGGGTGTGTTTCTATGTTTAAATAGTACTTGGGTTTTTTTATAAATACATGTCTAGGATTGGGTTTATTTATAAATTTGTATTCTTGTAAAGAGACTCCATTTCTTCTGTCTTAGCACTTATCCAACTATCTCGCTCATCACTTGCTATAACTTCTCGATAAATAGTTGGATCTCCTTGACCAATGTTGAGAGCATAATTAACCTTGTCTTGGTCAAACCCAAACCTGTCAGGTTTTTTCTTGTTCCGATTAGGTTTGTCCAGTGCTATGCATCTCTGGAATGCAGGTGGATTGTTGGTTGGAGTTCGAACCCTCTGGGATGTTTGGCGGATTAGAGTGCCTTCAATTTGCCCTGTTTCTTACTCCACCTAATTCCTAACTGGTGAACGATGTTGATGCTCTTCTTCCTCAAAACCATCATATTCGGCATCTTGCCCAATTTGCTCCACCTGAGCTTCTTCTTCGTCTGAACTGATTAACGGAATCTATGTTGCTTCAATTTCAGCATCGTCTTTCTTCTCCCTACTGCTCTCGACTTTATTCAGAGGCATGGTTGTCTCATCAAAGACAACACTCGGCTGACAACCTTTTTCCTGTTGTTGATATCCCAAAGCTTGAAACCCTTCACTCATTTCTCAAAACTTAAGAATATGCAATGTGTAGACTTTGGTTTGAGCTTGGACCTTTCATCACTTGGAATATGTGCGTAAGCACTACAGCCGAATACCCTGAGCTTGGAATAGTCCATCGGCTTCTCAGACCATACCTCTTCTGCACTCTTAAAACCGAGAACTGTAGATGGTGATCTATTAATCAAATAACTTGCATGATTAACAGCTTTTGCCCAAAAACTATCAGGCAATCCTGCATGAAATCGCATGCTCCTCTCTCTCCATGAGAGTTCGGTTCATCCTCTCAGCAGCTCCATTTTGTTGGGGATTTTTCTTTACTGTGAAGTGCCTTGTGATGCCTTCTTGCTTGCAGTAATTGGTAAACTCATTACTTGTATATTCACCTCCATTGTCACTTCTCAGGTACTTGATCTTTCTTCCAGTTTGATTCTCTGTTTCTGTTTTCCATTCCTTGAACTTTGCAAAAACCTCGGATTTCTGCTTTATGAAATAAACCCAAACCTTCCTAGAAAAATCACCCATGAAAGTAACAAAATACTTGGCTCCACCATTTGATTTGGTTGGTGCAGGACCCCAAACATCTGAGTGAATATAGCTGAGTTGCTCATTGCTTCGGTTATCTGCACTGCTACTCGTGAATGATACCTTCCTTTGCTTTCCAAGAACACAATATTCACAGAAGTCCAGTTTGCAAGATGACACGCCTTCCAACAGGCATTGCTTGTGTAGTTCTTGCAACCCTTTCTAGCTTATGTGCCTGAGCCTATGATGCCAGAGTTCAGTCTTGTCTTTTATACCTTGATTTATAGAAACAGCTGCTCCCCCGACTATAGTGGTCCCAATTAACTTATACAACTTATTGGGTTGTAGGTCACCTCGCATTACCACCAGTGATCCTTTGGCTACCCTGAGTCTTCCCTTTTTAGACTCGTACCCATAGCTGACCTCATCTAAAGTACCCAAGGAAATCAAATTCTTTCTTAGTCTAGGAACATATCTAACGTTCCCCAAAACTCGTATCATCCCATTAAACATTCTGATTCGAACAGTGTCGATTCCTTTTACAGGACATGAAGAATCGTCCCCCATTAAAACTTCCCCGCTACTGACTTTTTTGTAAGTATCGAACCATTCTCTTACTGCACAATATGAAAAGTGCATCTGATATCCAAAATCCAATTTGTGAAAGCCTTGGAGCTTGATATTACTGAAAGAAGCTCCCCGTCACTCTCATGCTCAGTGACTGCACTAGCTGAACCGAGCTTCCTTCCCTCTTGGCTTTCTTCTTTTTCCAAATCTTGCAGTTCCTCTTCCAATGATCGGCTGAACCACATTCGAAGCAACCTTCCTTCTTTTCCTTTTTCTTCTTGGATTTTGACCTACCTCTGTTGCCTATTTTCTCTTCCTTTGTCTTTTCCCGCCCCCTCTCCTTGCCTTTGGCATAAAGGCCTTGAGAGCTTTCAGTTATATAATCTAATTTAGCATATGACGAGCTTGAATCACGTCTTCAAGCTTCAGGGACTCTTTTCCAAACATTAGAGTTGTTCGAAAGTGCTTGAAAGACGAAGGTAGAGACCTCAGCAAGATGATAGCCATATCATCATCTTTGTAAGTTTCTTCGACCTTTTGAAGATTAGTTATGCAATTCTGAAACTTGCATACGTGATCTTCAATATCACCTCCTTCTTCCAGTCGAAGTCCGAATAGTTCATCCTTTAGAAAAAGTTTATTAGACACGGTTTTGCCCATATAAACATTGTGCAACTTTTCCCATGCTTCTCGGGCAGTCATCTTTTCGGTGATGTGTGACCGAACTGATCTTGTGAGATGGATCTCAATGGAACTCTTGGCCTTCTTGAGAACCTTGGTCCATGTTACGTCTGTCATGCCTGTCGGCTTCTCACCGCTGAGTGCATCATCCAAATCTCGCTGTATCAGTATGTTCTTCATCATCCTTTGCCAATCTGTGAAGTCATCCTTGCCATCAAAGGGCTTTAACGCAGGTCCTAGATCCGCATTCATCTTCCCTTTAGACATCGTAGAACCCCTTAACCTAGGCTCTTGATACTACTTGTTAAATAACCCGCCTTCTAGATCTTGTTCTTTGATGTAACCAACGGCAATAGACTAAACTAGTAAATATTAAAACACTTAGAAACACACAAGAATTATACTGGTTCGGCAGAACTTTTGCCTACGTCCAGTTGTGATTTCTCTAGATAGAGAAATCACTGCTCCTTTAATTAATAATAGAGATTACAGAACTTTTGCAACCCTAGAACTAATCTCAAAACTCTCGGTTGTCTCTGGCTGTTTTTCCTCTCTAAAAATAAGCCTTGCCACACCCTATTTATAGATATAGAGTTGGCTTACATGTCCTAAGGTTGATTGAATTCCTATTCTTAAGTGGATTAGGAAATTACACTTATCCAAATCCTAATAGACTTATGGAAATCCCAACCTAAATTGAATAAGGAAAACTGAAATTCTTTCCTAATCCTTCTAGGACAAGAATTGGTATACTTCTAATTTTTCTAAAACAATCCTAAACCAACTAGGACATATTTGACGAGCCAAAATCCTAACAAGTAGATCACTAATGTGGGCATATGACCCAATTTCAGTGACCAAAATGCATGTTTTGGTGACCAAATTGTAAGCCCTTTAGTGACCAAATTTGTGGTCCCTAATAGTGTTTTTATTAGTGACCAGACAGGGATAGTCACTAATTCTGTGTTGTAGTGACCAATAGTAGACATTAGACACTAAATAGAATTTGTGACGAGTGACCACCCAGTGACCAGCAATATTTGGACACTGATTGCGTTCAGTGATCAGTGACCAAAAAGGGTGGTTACTGTGACCAAGTGGGTGGCCACTAATACCTTTTTTCTTGTACTCTCTCTCTCTCTCTCTCTCTCTCTCTCTCTCTCTACAAGTGATAATGGGGACTGGGGAAGAAGACGGAAGTCAAACCCGACATTCCGGATGGATTGTTCTCTTTGAAATTTCCATGGGGTGGGTGAGGATATAATGTTATTGTGCAAAATAAGGTTGGGGATGGGAATAGCACTCAAGAAGATAGGCACCACCAAAATGGGTATATTGAATTTACAAGGGTTCAACAAATTGAAATAACACATAATTGGAAATGAAAGGCAGTCCATGGTTTTCCCCATTTCTATCTTATGCATCGAGGTGCAGATCATTAGGGTGAATTGATCATGGCCCAACATCATGGGGGGGATTATTATAGGTCGCAGTAGTGGGGGCACACCAGACTAAATATGATTAATAAAGTCACATTCCTCTAGGTGGGTTAGACCAACTGGTTTAGGGTAGCAAGCTCACCCCCTTAAATCCAAGTTTGAATCTCCCTCTTCGTGAATAGATTATTTAGTGTAGTTTAGACTATCACTTGTAATAAATAAAAAAGATCACATTCCTCCATATACACCTTCAAGTTGCAAGAACTCTGAATCGTTTCTCTCGCACTCACTTATGTTGCTTCTAAAAGATTGGCACCTACATTGCTATCACCTTACATAGGATGGCTATAACCAACTTCCACACGGCTCACTAGATAGGCTTGATCAAATTCCATGGAAGGATTGGAAGCTTCTCTTGCTCTACAACATTTGTCAATGAAAAAAAAAACAACATTTAGAAGCGATGGGGCACAACTTTTCCCCTCTTCTCATAGGGACTCGATTAGTTTTTCGTTCAAAATATTCAAAGGATTAAACGATAATATTAAACTAAAATATCAAGCGATTTGATGTCCACAATGAGTAATATTATATAAGCAAAAAGTCACTTTTGGTCCCTATAGTTTCTCACTTTTACCACTTTGGTCCCTGTCGTTTCAATTTGGTCAATTTTGTCCCTGTAATTTCAATTTGAAGCAATTCAAGAACAATTCTCAATTTCTGTCAAATTTTTGTAACTTCTGTTAATTATGGAAGGGCAATTTTGTCCAAAAATTATTAAAAAATTTATTCATTTTTAAAATTTAATCCCCACCCAACCCTAGTCAGCCACCACCTCCCTGTCACCCAACCACAACCCCAACCATCCAAGCCCGCCCAAACTCCAAACCCCAAAAAGAAAAAAATCCAAATGAAAAGAGGGTTCAGATCAAGCATGAAGGAGGTGATCATGAGGATGGGGATGGCGTCTCCCCTTTTTTCTTCCTTTCTCTCTAAAAATAAAAAAATCCAAACGATGGATTCAACCAATTTCTGTCACCAACGATCGCCATCATCGGATCGGTTGCTCAGCTTCTTCTCATTCTCACCACCTTCCTCTGCCGCCACCGTTACTTTTTCTTCCTCTCTCTCTCAAAAATAAAAATAAAAAATCCAAACGATGGATTCAACTCGTTTTTGTCACCAACGATCGCCATCGTCGGATCGGTTGCTCAGCTTCTTCTCATTCTCGCCACCCTCCTCCGCCGCCACCGAGGAGGAGCTCAACGAGGCCAAGATTTTCGTCGTCGTCAAGGCCCATCCCTTTGATTCCGAGATCTTCGTAGTCACATCCCATGCGGACTTCGAGAAAGTTCGAGAGCTTGGCTTTGATGAAGGTTCCCATGTTGTCTCATGCGGTAGAGAAGCATTGGAGAAACGAAGACCTTATTGATGTTGTTAATGATGATGATAATGATGGAGACAACGAGATGCTGCCGCTGCATGAGCTGGTGGGAAGAAGAAGAAGAATCCATGAGCTCCAAGAGGTCGTCGGGGTCTAGCTACATCGTCAGATCTGGAAAGAGGGAGGTTGGCTGAGGATGGGAATAGGGTGGGCGAGGTGTGGGGCTGAGTTTTGTGTTTTCCGGGCGAAGGGGTGGGGCTGGACCTATGGGTGGGAATGGGTGTCGGGTTTGGATGGAGATGGGTTGGGAATGGATATCTGTGAGGGCATTTTCCCTTCTGTTTGGTTGAAGAAGAAAGTTTATGGATGGTGGGTGATGTCTAGGTGCTAGTTGGTGGACAGTAGTTTTTGGCGATGGCTAGGTGGTGGTCTGTGGACGATGGTTTTTGGGGATAGTTGGGTTGGGGTGACGGTGAAGGGGTGGGGCTAGGAGGGGAGGGGTTTAGCTTTTAATTTTTATATATTTGATTTTAATGTTTTAAAATTATTTTTAAAGAAAATAATAATTTGTGGACAGAATTGCCCCTTTATAACTAACAGAAGTTGCAAAAATTTGACAGAAATTGAGGATTGTCCTTGAATTGCTTCAAATTGAAACTACAGGGACAAAATTGACCAAATTGAAACGACATGGACCAAAGTGGTAAAAGTGGAAAACTACAGGGACCAAAAGTGACTTTTTGCCTGTTATATACACTTGTTTTTGAATTGATCAGAGAAAGAATGAAGGTTACCGTTTTGACCCTATTTCTCATTTCTAACAAAAAAATTAGGGTTTCTGTTCATCAGGTTGTCATAGGCTAACTTCAAAAATTCTTTCATCCTGGCTTCCATAGTAAATTCAAATGACTACCATATCAGCTCCTTTAGTTCACCATCAATACCCTGCATGCATATTCACCTCTGAAATATCATTGCTACATTCAACAATATATGAAGACTTAATTCCGTTTTCTATTCGGTGGTGTTGATCTTGTGATTCTCCTCGTCTCGGCCTAGGCATAGATAAACCAAGATTGCATAGTGAAAGAATGAAAATGAAACAAATTTAAAGCTTGAAAGTGAAAAATAACTTAAAGTTATTGTTGGTTTTAGTTTTCATTTTCTAAAGTAGTCCATACACATTGTTCCACCTCCCTCCTACCATCGTTCCCCTACCGTCCTTCATTGCTCCTTTTTTTCAAATATTTCCTGTGTCTTTATCTCTATCAAGAAAAAAAGAGAAAAACTTACCATCTCAACATTTGTATCCATAGGAAAATCTTCGCAAAGTTCAAGTGAGATGAAAATATCTCCAATCATGGCCGTTGGCACTCTTTTCAGCTTTGCTTGAACTTAATTGTGCTACATGTGACTAGAAATGCAAATCAATTATGTGAGAGTGACTGGTCAAGGCCCTAAGCCACCAGAACAACCTATGAGAGAAAGATTTGATGTTTCGGACCTCAATCTTTGAGAGAGAATTTTCTTATGTACCAATCAGACCAGTAAGTCACTAAAAAAACCTGAGAAATTAGCAACATCTCTATATAAATTATGTGAATCATTATTTTCACTTACTACAAGTGGCACCTTTTTTTATATGGAGGTGTTAAGTACCGATGAAATGCTTATCTGTGAAGTACTCCTAGATATTTTCACGAAGAGAAAGAGATAGTGAGAGAGTTAACTCTCCACTCCCTTGATTTCGATCCTTTGGTATTTACCATGCTGGTGTTGTGATTGGTTGCTGTTTTCTTCTTGGTGCACAAGCGGACTCGGGTGTGAACCACTACAACACAATCACAATACAATTGCAATAGCAAATCAACAATGCTACCTCACTATGATATAATCATAACAAGTTCATAGAAAATCCCAATACCAAATGCAAGAATCAATTGACAAAGAACAAACACATTTGTTGTTTCAGACAAATAAAATCAATCCCAATACTTCACTTTCTACACAAAATATAGACGAAATCAATCACAATTCCAATTTCAGTAATCAAATTCAATTTAACATCAAAAATTACATATTCCCAACAATTCATTATCTGGAGAAGCTGTTCTTGAAGAGGGCATGTAAACCCTGACTTCAAAACCCCCTAAAATTGGACAAAAATGCTCAAACAATGGCCACCTAATGCCAAGACATGCTGTCATATTCAAAAAAGATGGTTTTGTTTGGGTTTGTTTAGGTTGCATAAGGGATTCGAAGAGAGACGAAGTTGGAGTTTGGATTTGGGTAGAGAAGAAAACAGAGAGGAAGAGGAAGAATTGGGTTTTGAGGGCAAAGCTGTGGGTTTTGCAAGTTGTTATTGTTCTTCTTCTTCGTGAGAAGAGGCGTACTTAACTAGAGAGAGAGAGAGAGAGAGAGAAACCAAAAACTAACCAAAAGTGTTATCTAGTCGATAAGTGGGCAATAAGTATGTATTTATAGGTGATATTTGTAAATTTGTGGGGAAATGTGGTATTTCCAATTAAAATTAAAAAAATGGTGGCATTAAGCGCCATTTCCCAAAAAAATATATATATGTAAATTACATATCCAATAATGTACCTATGAAAAATAAAAATAAAATATATACGTATAAAAATATAAATATATTATTTAAATAAAATATAGGTATATTATTTACCAAAAAATTAAAAAACAATTAAGTCAGTTACTTTGTAATTGAAATTTCCGTACACTTTTCCTAAATTAAAAATAGGTACACAATAATTTATAGAAAATATAGGTACATTATTTACTCATAGGTAAATTATTTTACAATATACCTATAAATGTGTATAGGTGCATTATTTGGAGCGGAAAAATAGGTTCAATTAAAAAACAAAATTGGTACACTGTTTTACTAGTTACGTTATTAGAGAAAAAATAAGGTACATTATTTGGAGAGAGAAAATAGGTTTATTAAAAAAAATATATAGGAACACTATTTTACTAGGTACATTATTAGAGAAGAAAAAAAAAGGTACATTATTTAGAGAGAGAAAATAGGTTCATTTAAAAAAAATTGTTTTTCATAAAACAAACAATAAAAATATGATCAAATTATTTTTCATAAAACAAATAAAATGTACTTTATTCAGAGAAAAAAAGGGTACATTATTGGAAGAAAAAAATAGGTGCATTATTTAGAGAAAAAATAGGTTCATTTTAAAAAAATATTTTTTTTTCATAAAACAAACAATAAATAGATTATCAAAATATTTTTCAACATAATTAGAATGTACACTATTATTCATAAAACTATAATAAAATAGATTACTAGTAGTATATTTCATAAAAGGAAAAGAACATAATATTTTTATTAAATAAACCAAAACGTTAATCACATGTAGATTACTAATACGTTAATGTTGAATTTAATTTCAAATAAGTTTCTAAATTAATTCCTACATCCATTACAACCATTTGAAGATCTTTCCAAATTCAATGTGTGTCATTAATTACACCCCCACATAACACGTTAACTTGTAAATAGGTGTAGTTTTGGAATCCGAAAAATAGAATAAATCATATTTTAAGCTAGATTAGATAACTTGCTTACTTGAATCCTAGTCATTGGGTTTTATTTGAAAAAATTGGGTATTTTAAATAGAAAAATAAAGGAAAGGGTTGTAAGTGATTGAAAATGAATTTTATGGGTCTAAGCTCAATTTACTATAAAAATATATATATTAAGCCGTTCTACTATTAATAGTACCGATACCGAATCTTTGTGATAAAACTCCATACATACTGGGTGTGGGCTGCTAGTCTCTCTCTGAAATCTTGAAACCAAGTGATCAACCAAAGTTTTTTAATATGTTAATTTTGGTGACATTGAAAAATTATTAATCCCATTGATGGGAAATTGAAGAACCAAAAATTAACCCCATTGATGGGAAATTTGTCATCAATACTTCTGAATTTGGTATTAGTTGAATCCTGTTTTACTCATTGAATTTGAACTAGGCTTCATTTGGCAAAATTCCAGTAAAAAAATCTTCAAGATTTTTGTAGCAATGAAGGAAATGCAATGTTAACAATTGTAGTAGAGAAAGCTTTTTGCCGCAAGTCTTTATGTCTGCAACAACACTGGAATTCTGTGTTATTATTTTGATTAGTAACTTTGAGTAGTAATGAAAGATATGTAGGAGAGGTTATGAAGTTTTGATGTTGTATTCGGCTAACAAAGTAGAAAAAATTGAAGCAGAGGGATCTTCAAGAACTACTTATTTGAAGAGACAATTTAACATCAATCCTTGATAACTCTAAAAAATACATGAACTTATGCTTTAACCATCAAATCTGCTCAAACATTCGAATGATACACAAATGAAATCCAGTACATGAATTATAATACACTTCAACACACTTGGAATTGAAATGGGATTGTTTCTCAAGAATTGATGAGGTTTGAGATGTGGAATTGCAACTTGCTATTCCAAACTTGAAGAACTAACTCTGTATGCACATCCTCATAAAATTCTTCAGAACAGAACTCAACCTCCTCATCAATGTGCTGAAAATAGGGAAACAATATTAAACTAGAAAAATAATACCCATCAGCTTATACTAAAATGGAAAGTGACAAATGGTGGCCAGTCTCAATACGAAATTTTTTCAACTGAAAAAAAAAGGGCAATATACAAAACACTCTAGAGCTAAAGAGAAGGATGCATGAACTTCTAAGCACAATAAGTTACACCACATTGAAAGTGTTCATCCAATGCAGTAAATGTGAGAATCCTATCAGTAAAGAATGCGACCATGCTGACCAGTATTCCTATCAGTATAATTTAACAAAACAAAAACATGATCATATCACTAAAAGCAGAAAAGTTCCTTCAATTCCTATATATCATTAGATCGAGATGCAAAATACATTAAAGAAACCTATCAGAAACCCAATTAACGTAAATCCTAACCATCTAGAAATCCCATCTTAATAATTTATTTTGTGTGATTTGGCTTGCAAGAAGAAGTATTTTGTTCAACAAGAGAGAGGGGGTGAAGAGAATGATGTACAAATATAAGTGTACATTTCTCTCTCATATTTTAGAGAACCCAAGGGTCTCCTTTTTTTAGGATCAAGACAGGAGCATTTTTTGAGTTGGGTTCTTGACATTCACTCTAAATTTTAACTTAGAATCTCATTTAGGGAGGAGCCCATTGGAGATTCTCTAATGAGATACCACATCAAAATTAGGTTGTTTGTTTGTTTTCGTCTATTATATCGCAATGATAGAACACTTGAATTAAAAAAACCTCAAACACAAGTGAAATACATTGTAAATTCTTGTCAAATCGAAGCTTAAACAATCTTCATACGTAATTTTGTTTATATCATTAGAATCTAATTTGATCATGCTAACTCAATTTAATTCTTTCCTTAATATGACATAATATGGCATATTGTTTTTAGTAATAAGATTTACTTAATATAGAAGTTGGAGATGGCAACATATATATACTCACCTCTGCACTTCTCTGTGTTAACATCATATCTCTACTATCTCATTAGAATTCGGTCTCCTATTCAAAAGAAAAGAATGTGTATCATTGAGATGGCAATCAGGTTTGAAAAAGAAACACTTTAATTGTTATATTATTGACTAAACACACCAGTGAGCATTCAGGAGCATACCTTTTTTCGTGAATGTTCCCTATAGTGCTATTGAGGTCCCCCATCCACTCAGACTGTCCCAACTCTGTGTGTACTTGGATTCTAGAATGTGTGTTGACAAACTTAGGAGCAAATGTTCTTAAATCTGGACATCTTATAACATTCAATTCCATCAAAGATGGCAACTTCAAAGTATAAGCTTCAGTAGAGAAACAAATGAGGTTTGGTAGATCTTTAAGCGTCATGGAATTCAGTCGAGGAAATGTAATTTCCTGATCAGCACATTCAGTGTCTGCTTTTGCAATAACTTGTTTAATCTTCTTACAATTCCCAACTTTTAAGTCTTTAAATTGACAAGGAGCTTGGCTACAGTTGACAAGAACAAATATCGCAAACTGCCACAGAGGGATACACTTAAGAATGTCAAGTTTCCGAAGCCTGTGATATGATGTGAACCGCCCGTTTCCCATACGTGCATTAAACTTGGCAAATTGTATAACGACAAGTTACGCAACTTATTGAATGCTTGAACATTGTGGCTTTCCACATCCTTTGGTCCCTTGAGTTGGAAAACAACTTCCAATGACTCACAATATTTTACAGAAAGACGTTCTAGATTATCGTAATCATTTGAGTCTTGATCAAGATTTGTTGGTGCAACCTAGAAAATCAAACATCAATTGAGCAACGTATATAATTTATATAATTTCAATATATGGCAATGTCATTTTCATTCTCAATTGTAGCTTACCTCTTGATTGACTGGACGTGGCAATATTTGAACAATATTTCTTCTTGAAGTAGGTTTGGTCATTGGGCCACATGAATAAGATGTACATCCACATGATCCTGATAAAATACCTTCATCTTCATCTTCATCTTCGTGATGAGCTGTTGAATCTTTCTCCAACTTTTTTATTTGTGGAATTACTGAAGCCAATGTCTTCAGTTTGTCGCAATCTCGCACAAACATAATTTTGGCGGCTGACCATAAAGAAGTAGAAGCATCAGGACAAGACTCTCAAGACTCGGAAGCCGGCGTAGATCAAAACTATTTAGTTTGGGAAACAAAGTCATGCCCGTCTGATCCTCTTTTTCATTTTCATCAGCGGATCTGACTATAGTTTCCATGCTCCAGCATCTCGCTATGTTGAGCTCTTCAAGATTCACAAGTAGCCTGGCAATTGAATGTGGGAACACATATTGGAGATCATCAGCACCTCGTATTTTAAAATATCTTAAGTTTTGGAACACATATTGGAGATCATCAGCACCTCGTATTGCCAAAGGTGTTGACATGTAGAATCCCATATGTACAAATTTTGTAAATGAGAAAATGCTGGAACTGCCTGCCCATCCCTAACCATATGGCCTTTCAGATCAAATAACACATCTACATGGGCCAATACTAGTTTCACTTGTTCTAGATTTTGTAACCATAAAATGCACTTTGATGGAAATACCACTCTTTCAAAGCTTCTAGAAGATTGATGCTCATCATATGAAGTTCCTACCACATTTTGATCCTTAGGCTCATCCGTTATCTGAAAAGATTCATTAATTAATAAATATTTAAAGAAACATTTTGTATATTCAAAAATGAAATTAATAACAAGCTCAATTATTATTGTTTAAATTACTTCAATATGACTTCATATTAAAATATTAATAAAACCAATGTTACTAGTCAGTTTCTAGATTCTTTATGCTGATGCTGTTCAGACAAAACCTCTCCTCTGCTTTGCAGAATAATAATCACATAAAAGCTAGACTTTGTGATCTCAGGTCAAACAAAATGCTTCCACGTGGCAAGAATTTTCCAGTAAATAATTTGGAGCGTGGCAATTAAGACCGTAATTTTGAGCGTGCAAAAAAAAATTGAAAGTTTTAACCAACTTAAATTTGTTGCTTCTTTAGATAGTTCGAGATTTCTAAATATATTATGTAATGAGACCATTAACAAAAATGAGTCCAAAATTTTTACAAATAAATATATGAAATGGACTAAATTATTTATTTATTTATTTGTGGTCTGCACATGCTCAATTTTTTATTTTTTTATTTTTTTATTTTTATTTTTTGGTAAAGGCAAGTAAACTAGATTCCTCATTTATCAGTATGAGAATATTTTCAGTTTTTAGGAAGAAAACGAGTAAATAATAGTCAAACTAAATTCAGACCTCATGGCAGGTAAACCAAAAAAAATAAAAAATTTGAGGCACAAACAATTAACAAAACAATTATACTATTCAAGCATCGAAATAATAAGTTATATATGTAACATACCTCATTGTTGGAGTATAGCTTGTTGACTTCGTAGAAACCAACGAATTCATTAGATAGTTCATAGAGTGTCAAATTTGTTAATTTAGGGAAAGCTATGATGTCCGATGCTGTCTCATGTTCCCTCCGCTCCTTTGAGACGATTTCTTTCATTTGGGGACACATGGCAACACTTAAGCTTTGGAGTTGAACCAAGTTGCTTGCTACTGATAGAGAAAATACATATTTTAAAACAGGGCAATCATCTAATTGAAGAGATCTTAAGTTGATAAAAGAGCTCTGTGGAAGTTGGTCGTGGTATATTGCTTTTAGCTTGGGCATCCCCCAGAGTTCGATTGATTGGATGAGAGGGAAGGCTGTTTGTTGAGTCCAACTTGCTCCATTTACAAGGTATTCTATCTCGGGGCACTCCCGAATTGTTAAAACTTTTAAGTGTTGCAATCCCTCTTGGTCTAATTCATTGAGGACATACTTTAAATTCTTAATCCTTCCCAACATTAAATCTTCACATTTCTTAAATAAGACACGAACAATTTGAATCTCCATGAATTCCCTTGCATCACTTTCAACAATATCCAACTTATTTTCGAATGCATAACAACCAGCTCTTGTTGATGGAGTTCTAACCGGCGATGGTCCAAGTGAGTTGGATATGTGGAATCTTATTGTTGTCTGGATTGTCAAGTACAAGTCTTTTGGAAAGAAGTTGAAATCGGGTATATCTATGACTAAAACCTTCAAATGATTAGACAATAAAGACATCACCTCAACAAGGCTTGCCATCCTCTTATCTTCGCTTTCTGCTGCTGATTGTTCCCATTTGCGAAAACTATTTTCCATATACAACTCTTCAAGACTAGATAAGCTCGATAAGAGACCATGTGGAATCTTCTCAAGACGATCACAATCCGTGATATCTAACAACCTTAAATGTTTAAGAAGTCCAATTTCCTTCGGCAACTCTAAGATTCTAGAGCATTTACGAAAGCTGAGGATCTCTAAATTTTCCAATCTTCCAATAGCATCAGATATATCTGTTAAATCATAACAACCATTTAGGGACAAGGTTCGAAGGCTCTTCAGTAGTCCTAGTGACCTTGGCAAGGCTGATATCCCACCCATGTCTACCAATGCTAAAACCTTCAGCTCTTTCATCCCTTTACACATGATGTCCATGCTATTTTCCGAATAACGTTCGCCTTCTAAGTGTAGAAGCTCAAGTTTTGGACACTCCAGGCCAACTGGGATCTCATCAATATTAATTGGTATCAGTGAGATTGTTGTGCAATGGTCGTATATCTTTGGCCACCCTTTCTTTTCAGCATCGCATCTTATTAGAAATCTATGTGGATCTCTTGAGGCAATTGATATGGCAACATCACGAACTATGTCATGCATCTTGGTATGGTCTCCCCATTTGCTCTCTAGCAACAAAAACCTTCTTTGAAGTTTGTCAACCAAAGAATGCACTCTATTTCTTGCTTCTTCCACTGAATCAATGTTACTAAAATACCCTCGACCCCATCCATATCTAACCAAATATTCAATTGGAATATCATAATCTTCAGGAAATAAACAACAAAGCAAAAGGCATGACTTCGCTTCATCACTCTCCAATCTATCATAACTCCATTGTATGCTTGGAATAAACTTTGTCATTCATTGAAGAGATGCTTCCAGGAGCTGAACTTTGTAGCTGTTTGAGGGCATCATCCCATTCATACTTCCTCTTATTTTCTAGTGCTTTCGCAACAGTTAAAATAGCAATAGGTAAACCTGCACACTCATTTGTGACTCGTTTAGCCAAATCAGGATAGTCCAAGGGTTTACCTATGATTTCACGGAAGAGTTCCCATGATTCCTCTGGTGTTAAAACTGGGAGTGTAAAAATTTCTTGACTTCCCATTTCTTTGCACACGTCCTCGTTTCGTGAGGTCAACAAAACTTTGCACCCTTTATGAGAAAGTTGAGAAGGAAGTCCTATAGCCTCAAAATCAAGCTCTGTCCACACATCATCTAATACAATTAGGATGCTATTTATTTCCATGAGTCTTCTGTAGAGCCTTCGTGCTCTTCCACTTTCGGTATTCTCGTCATATTTAAACCCCAGCTCCTCTGCAATTTCTGATTGAATCTTCTGAATGCTTGGGCTTTGGGACACAACTGCCATCACAATATTATCGAATGCTTTCAATCCTTCCAGCCTTTTGATGATTTCTTTCACCATTGTGGTTTTACCCACACCCCCCATACCACAAATCCCAATCATTCTAACGTCTTCATTCTTCAAAACCTCTATCACCCTATTCACATGTGTCATTCTGGATTTAAAATCCTTAAAACCTTCTCTGAATGTTGACCATATCATCGGTGGAGGTGCAGGATGGGCAACATTATTGAATGTTCCTTCTTTTTGGAGATGACGAACATCTTGTGTAATCTTAGTGGCTTTCCTACTTATGTTCCACCGGTACAAGCATCGCCTTTTCATGCGGACTTCTTCCTCAAAATGCAACACTTCTTTAATTAACACGTTAACACTTTTTAGCCAACTTTGAACATCAAAGTTGATAACTTCACCATTCCTTTTGGCAGCATTAACCAATTCTTGCACCCCATCTTTCATCTCAAAAGCTTTTTAAGTTGATTCTTTAGATCTTTCATGTTGGTATCATAGTAAATCAAATAGCCAGATTCTCTGCCTATTGGTCTCACCAAGGACTCTGCGATTTTGGACGCAATTGAAATAACAATATCCATTTCCTTGTGAGATCAAAGACACGTAGATGAAATGGTTATCTCTGTATCTTGTCTCCCAATCTGTACAAAATCCAATGAAAAATAGATCAATATAAAAATAGGGTTGGCTTTTTTTGGCAAAATTTTATGTTGCATATATTTTATATTTATTTGAACACTTTGTACAATTTTACCATTATCAAAGAAATTATTATTGCCAATTAGGTTTTCTTAAGAACCCAAGGGATAAGATTGCTGGGCAGCTTTACTCTAGTATAAATAGACTATTAAGAGACTCATGTATTCAATTTTTTTATGCATATAATTCCAGGCTTTAATCGCTATAGTTTCTTTTAGGATATTTGACCTAGAAATCAATTATTTTCATTCTAACTTCTATTCTATAGCTTTATCATTTTATTATATGTATTTTGGGACTGTTTGGTTCACTAGACAACAACTTATAGACGCTACCCTGCATCAAATTGATACCAAAGGCTAGGAAAATCCTTCCTTCACACCATGGTTGGTCATGGTAGAGGTTGTGGACAAGGGAATGTAGGGGTCTTTTTTCTTCTGATGGCTACAGATGGGCTGGGCTGCCGTAAGGAGCAAACTGAAGAAAAATATCCTCTGTGTCTGAGTTTGAAAATTAAGCCCCAAAAATGCTTCGAAAGGGCAGCAGAGCCTTAGGAAGTATTTTGGTTACCTTCACCAGCCAAAACAATGGCAACTTACAGGTAATTTTTGCATGCTTACAGATAAACTTTTGAGCTTGGCATGAGAGGCATGTGGCATGGAAGCAAAATCAACATGAGTTTAGCACAGAGGGGAAATTTAGGCTTTCTTAGGGGGGAAAAAAAGAAGTGTTAAGGTGAGAAAGGAGAGATTTGTAGGATATTTGGCTAGGAAGAGAGAAATGAAGAACAATGCTCTTCCGGCAGCTTGACAGATACTCTGTCTGCTAGAAGAGAAGAATGGAGAAGAGGGTGAACAGTGCACGAGATTGCTGGGTTTTTGCAAGTTAGAGAGAAAGCTTGCTCTCTGAATCTCTGTTGGTTTTGTTGGTTAGAAGAGGCCTCATTTTATAGCTGCTAGAAATCATTCGTTCCCAAGAAACCCTAATGGTTTCTACCCATTTTGGCTAAGCCCTTCCTTTCTCTTCTCCTCCCTTGGCTTTTCCTATCTTGGTGAAATTTTCTCTGTCTATTTGCACAAAATCAGGAACTTTGGGAGCTCAAGGCTCCTTTCCCGCAGCTGTTCCAGTGGGAGGCTACATTCTTAGCTATTTTTCTTCTTCTTTCCTTCCTCCTTCCTTGGCCAGATCTGATGAAGGAAAGGAAGTGGATATACATGCTGGTTCAAAGGATGCTTCTGGCAGCTCGCAGGCTAATATTCTTTGGTTCCTTGAATGTTTCTTACTTGGAACTTGCTCCCCCCATGTGCTGAAAACTCTAGCAGCTTTGTTCAATAAATCTTCAGACCTCCCCCTTCGTGGCTTCTATTTTTCGAGCAAGGGGCTGAGGCTTTTGTGGCTTATTTTGGAGTTTTGTATGGTCCAAAATGGTTCCTTAAGCAAGTGGGCTATTTAAAACGTTTGGGCTTTTTGGTTGAGTCAATAGGCTATTTTGATTGGGCTTATTTTTGGTTGGGTTATTTTCCCTTTTGTGCTCACCCATGTGTTTGGGCCTAAGAAATGGGCTTGAGTCCTGAGGCTCCCAAGCGACCCGAGACTTCCATTTCTCGGCCCATCAATGGGCCTCATGTTGATTTATTACCACCCATACCACAACCCACTCAAGCAAGCCCCGGGTATTTGAGCAGCTTGGACCCGCTTAGGCTTGTAGCGTGGTTGGGTGCGAAATAACGATTTCGTGCTTGGCATGGCATGTCGCTTGGCACATTTTTAATTGTGATGCTTGATGGGATAATTAGCATGGATTTGTAGAGCTAATGCATTTTATAATCTTAATCTCGATTCCTAGCATGACAAATTATTTATTTGGTATGGCACGTGGAGTGTGACTCGCGCATGACGGACTTTTGTGCTCTCCAAATCAGGTCTTTTCTCAATAATATATCATTTTGGGCCGAGAATATATTCGGGCCCAACCGTGGATTTTTTGGGCCTCAACAGGGAATTAAGCCCAACACACATAGATGACATGCGACGTATAATGGAAGATATGTCGAGAGCAGTGCAGCCCTCCAAAGACAGAAATTTAATCAATTGCCTATATGGAGATTCTGGAATGCAACCATGGTGATGGTGATTGAGGTGGATTGGAAGAGCAGTTGGTTCGTGCATTGGGTTTGAATGGTGGAGGAATTAAAATTGAAGTTGCTGATTTTTATGGAAATATGCATGCAAAAGATTATTTAGATTCAGAGGCAAGTCTAATGAATGCAAACCTATGGTAGAAGTGTAAGACATTACATTGTCTTAAACCATGTTAAAATGGTCTTCTAATCACATAAGGAGTTGCAGTTTAGTATTAATCAAGAAACAGAACTTGAGCATACTAGTGAACCTGCCACAAAATTGCAAACCTATAGGCTACAAATGGGTTTTCAAAACCAAGAGAAACCCTAAGGGACAAATTGATAGATATAAGACAAGACTAGTTGCCAAAGGATACACCTGGCAAGAAAAGATAGATTAAAAAGAAATCTATTCACTAGTTTCAACTAAAGACTCATTTAGAGTAATCATGGCATTGGTAGCACATTTCGATTTACATTTACATCAAATGTATGTAAAGACTGCATTCTTGACAGGAAATCTAGAAGAGGGAATATATATGAAACAACCAGAAGGTTTCATTTAAGAGAAGGGAGAAAATCTAGTATGTAAACTATGTAAATCAATTTATGGTCTTAAGCAAGCTTCTAGACAGTGGTATATCAAATTTGATGAATTTGTTAAGCAATGTGGTTTTTACAGAAAATTCATTGGATGAACGCATTTACATGAAGAAGAGTGGGTGAAATTTCATCATATTGGTATTATATGTGGATGACATCTTATTGGCATGCACAGATTTATCAACGTTACATAGCTGTAAAGAATTCCTATCTAAACATTCTGAAATGACAGATCTGTTGGCGAGTCCTTACTTAGTTAGGATTTTGGTTACTTACCCATTTATCTAGTCCTATTATAATTGAAATTTATTTCCTATTGTAATTTATATTTATTTTCTATTGTAACTTGGATTTATTTCCCATTTTATTTAGGGTTGTACTTCTCTATAAATACCTCCATATTGGAGAAGAATAATAATATGTGTGAATATGAGCGTATCTTAGCATAACTGAATATTTTCCCTACTTTGTTTGACATGGTATAAGAGCCTAAGTTTTCTTGTGACATGTGTTTGCGGTCTCCTTGAGAGTCGTTGCTAATCCTTGAGATCCTCTGACAAATTGAGAGTCGTTGGCGTTCCTCATTCCTAACCCATCATGGGTCTTCACCTTGCTGTAAATCCTCGTTTCTCCTTTCCTTAATCATCAACATATATTTCTTCTGCCTTAGCCATAGCCGCACCTTTCTGCAATTTTACTCTTGTCTTTGTCCTTACCGTGTTTATGTTGAGTCATTACCTTTCTTTTTCTCTACCTATGCCTGCTGCTGCCTTTTTTCTCTTACTTTTCATCTCTCTATGAGCTTGCTTTCTGTTAAAATCAGATTGAGCCCATGTTAGTTTCAGTCTCTTGCGAGCCTCTCTTTTAAATGTATACCATATGGGCAACACGCCCCTTGGCCATTGATTGCTTGATCTCTTTCCTCCGTGAGCCTCGTCACCGCTCACCGAGCCATCTCAAACCTCTGCAAGCCTCGTCACCGCTCGCCGAGCCTTCTCCTAGCTGGCCTTTTTCTCTCTCTGTCCTGCCAAGCTACATTGCCGATGTTCCCTTTGCACAGTCGCTCTGGTTCTCTATCTCTGTGCACACCTATATGGCCCTTTTTCCCATTTGATAATGTGTTTCACTTCCTGCCCAGAAACATCTGTGTTTTCTTACTCTCTATTTAACTAGAGTTTTATTATTTATATTTTGATTAACTAGTAAAGGTTTTGATGGATATTCAGAAAGTTTGAGGATTCATAAAGTGGAATTTTGTTGAGTTATTTTATTGCTTAGTGTATCTTTTTTATGTATGATACTTGAATGTACATATAAGGCAGTAAAGCTAGCAATTGAGGTAGCTGTGATGGTATAGCATATTCATGGCATTTGTTCAATTTTAACTAGACATTGGCAGTCACTTAGGGGATAATGAATGAGCATGACATATCTATTAATTAGCACAGATATTCAAGTAGTTTCTATAGTTCTTTGTTGTTCTTCATTGATAGTGGCTTAGTAGGGATTGTGCTCAGTTATGTTTCACAAGGCCTTAAAGTGTGTAATGCTATCAACTATTGTGATTATTTGACCAATTGGGAGACTATAAGACATTACATTGTCTTAAACCACATTGGAATGGACTTCTACTCATATAAGGAGTTGTAGTTTAGTATTAAACAAGAAACTGGAACTCGAGCATATCTGTTGTTCTAGTTTAAAGTGCAGTTTAATTAGAAAACTAGAGCTTTGAGGATTCCAAGTCCTACATGGATTAAAACATTTTATCCTAGTGCAATCAGGATTTGTTTAAGTGCTCTTCAATGGGCAAAATATATACTTAAGCAATGCATATATATAGAGGTCCCTTCCCTAGCAATCAAGATACACTCATATTGATATCTCACCCCATCTAGAGAGAGTTAAAGTTCTACATTGGAAAAGAAGATTATTATACCTTCACCACATCCATGTCTGACCAAGGTTAGTGTTTAAGTTCAAAGACAAGAGGTAGCTTGCTTACTCTTCTCTTGCCTGAGAGTGAGAGATCTTATTTGCTATTAGGCATTCGAGCTTGCTCTATCCGACGCTTACCGACAAGAGAGAAAGTTCCTCTTTTCGGAAGAGTCACTACGCCCAGAACTTCAAATACCGAGTTCGGTTGCTGATGCGATTTAGGTTTAAAGACAAGAAAGAACTTACAAGAAGATCGTAAGGTGTTTTTTTTTAAAAGCTTAAATTGAAGAGCAACGTGCTTCAATGGTGGAAGAGAGTAGAAGGGCAACGTGCTTGACAAGGGAAGTAGAAGATCAACACATGTGAAAGCAAAGTTACGAAAGAAGTTTTTAACGGTTGATTACACTATGGAGTTATATGAAAGGTTTCATAGCTTAAAACAACGAGATACGTTCGTTGAAGAATATAAATTCGAGTTTGGTAATCTCTCAATTCGAGTTGGTTTGAAAGATAATAATCAAAAGATGACACATATCGTTATCTTTCAGGTTTGAATAAGACGATTAGCGATGACATGAGGACATGGGGAATATAAATCCTTTTGTTGTATTGGGCTTGTTTGTAACTTTCTAAAGGTAATGAAATCTTCATTCTTTCGAACAAAAGAATTATAATATATAGGGATGACACTTAAGAATGTTTATAAAATAAAATAAAATAAATAAAAAAACCCTAACAATCTAGGCATAGCAGGAGAGATGAAAAATGGCTCACTTGATTTTCATGTATGTAAAAATAGGGCCACAGAGATTACCTGATTTTACGTAGCAGAGATTAGACCGGTCGAAGGATGACTTTTGAGAAAACTGGGTTGAATAGCCCTAGCTATCTACCTCATCCCCAGATTCAGGGAGGCTCCTAATTTTTCAGAGGTTTTTGTATGCTTTTTCTGTGCTCCTAATTGTCTATTTTCTTAGTGGGAAAGTGGGGAAAATGGGTCTAGCGGCCATATGTATTGGCTTCCTTTCAATCATGAAAAATAAAATATCTCATGTCAATGCCGCGTTTTTGGTCCAAGTCCAAGTATATGACAATTACTTTTGTTGCTTTGTCAAAACATTCACACCTAGCGTGTATTTTGGGGAATTCTTTCTCCAATCTTTCTCAAACAATTGTATATAACCAAAACCAGTGAATTTTTTAACAATAAAAGAATTAGGTATTAACACACTATACAATATGGTGATTTGTTTTAAGTCTTGGTGACGGAGTTATTTACTTATTAAATTACTTATTAACTGATTACGAATATAGAGAGAGACAAATCAGAAGAAAAAGAAAAATATGCTACCGGCTTTTCTACCAACCAAAACAACAGGAGTTTTATAGTAACCTTCACTTCACGAAGAAGGTGAAGAATGAAGGGCTGGTCCCCGGGGAAACGTTCTCATGCAAGACAAAGCCCTCGCCGATAATGGGTTGATAGAATTATCTATTGCATTAGCCATCCATCCGAAGTGTAAATTCATATTATTAAGAAACTTTATTAGGTCGAGCTATTAAAAATATAGGAACATAGCTAGGTTATGCTAAAACAAAACATAGGATCAAGGGGTTCGTAGGTCAAGTTATTAAGAGCAGATGGATATCTCTTCACCCAAAGTTCTATCTTCATTGGCATCCTATTTGGACATGTTTATACCAAAATGAACAGCCAATGAATACCAAGCACGTGGACCAAACCAGGGCTACGTGTGCCTTCGGCACTCGCCTTCGGTACCAGACCTACCGATGGCAACATTAGGGCAATCTCGCCTCTCTGACACGTGGCAGCCCCACAACTGACGCCCAGAGTCCCACATCGAAACTCTAAGCAAATTGCACACCTCCCAAGGCCTATAAAAGAGGACGTCGTCCCAGCTTGAAGGTAATCAATCAGAACTTACGGCATACTGCCTATTGATCTGCAGTTAAAACTTACTAAATCCGTACTTACTTAAGCATCGGAGAGCCTTCGGCCGGTACCACACCGGTGCCCTAGGATTTACCGTGTGTTTGCTATCTTACAGATCACACACCCTACCGAGGACATCAGATACCGAAGAGACTTAATCACTAAGTTGCGCGGGAAAGTGCCGAACCATTTTTCTGCGTCAACAGTTTGGCGCCGTCTGTGGGAAATGATAAAATCAACCTACAATTCCTAAACAAAACAAATGGGAACCACTTCAGGACCACAGTTCCTATCGGAGGATGGATTACCGTACGGTATGCCAAGTGGAGCAAGCCCCGCGCTGCACCCTAGCACTCCCTTCGGTAATCCTCCTGCGCTTCAGACCACGGTCGAAGCAGAGCTTCTGGCTCAGATGACCTCTCTCCGAAAGGAGATGGCTAAACTCCAAGAACGTAACAATCTCCTCTCGTCCAAAGTGGACGAAACCCAACGGTTGCTTAATCAGCAGGAAACACAAAACGTTCGGACCACCGAATCTTCCCAGAGTCAGCAGACCCCCGGTCGGCAGAGGAGGGGAAAACAGGGGGCAAAGGCAACGCCTGCGCCTTCCAAGCAGCTGGTGGTCCCAGCACCCCAGGACCAACCGCACGTACCGAAGAAGGTATACACCGATTGTCGTCATCGGATCAACGACAAGAAGGATGCCGAACGGCATAGGTCCCCAATCAGACTAAACGCCAACTTGAGGGACTCCCGGATGAGGGTCTTGGGGGATAAATCGCCCCTTCGGAGGGCTCAGGGTTTGGATTCGGCGCAGGAATCCGATGATGAGTACATCCCCACCAGGGACACCGAATCAAGCTACCGTTCGGAAGCTCCCCCGGAGTTTCGAAGGCGAGATCACCGATTCCGAGGAAAAGCTTCCGAAGACTTTGGTTCCGAGGACGTCCCCAGCCGAGACCCCACCATCCGATTACTTTTCCAAAGAATCCAGAAGATGGAGGAGGACCGAACCCGATCCCAGGTCCCTGACTGGGGAAAACTTCGGCCGGGACCATTTACCGAGCGCATCAAGAGGTCCAGACCGGACAGGGAGGTGCAGCCGCTGCGCATACCCTTCTATACCGGTGTGGAGGACCCTCTGACGCACCTCCACTCCTTCCAATCGGCAGTTGGGTGTAAGGGCCTCAGCGACGAGGGACAATGTCTGCTGTTTCCCTCGTCCCTTACCGGAGCTGCGCTGAACTGGTTCTACCGTCTCGAGCCAGGGACGTACACTCCTTTGACGAACTGAAGCAGATTTTCCTCAACCACTTCATGATCCAGACGGGACCGTTTGTACTCTGCCGACGATCTGTACACGATTCGGCAAAGGGAGGACGAACCCCTACGGGAATACGTGGCGCGCTTCAGTCACGAGTACTCGAGGTGTCTCGAAACGGACGATAGGGCAGCCTACGGCGCCTTCAAGAGTGGCCTACAGCCCTCTCACTTCGGGTACCTCGTGCACAGTAGCAACTGGCGCACGTATGACGAATTAATGAAGCAGGCGGCAGTCCATGCGAAGGCCGAATACTTCAACTCCAAACCCGGGCCTTCGGCTCGGAAGGAGGAATCGGCAGCCAAAAGTTATCCAGGCCGAACCGATGACCCGTCGGCAGGACACAAACGGAAGGACGACTGGGATAGCCGTCAGGGAAATTCAAAGAAAGGACGTGGGAAGTACGGACGTAACGACCACCGGGCGCCCCTACCGAATCACGATCGCGCTCAGGAAGTCTTCACCCTGCTGAACACGACGTACGAAACCGTTCTAATGAACGAACGTGATCTTTGCCGATGCGTTCAAAGGACTGGGGATTGCCGACAGCATGGTCAATCGGCAAATCACGCCTCTCCTCAGTTTCTCTGGAGATCTGGTACAACCGGTCGGTAGCATCAGTCTACCCATCGCCTTCGGCGTGGCCCCTAGGAAGACCATGACCTACGACCAATTCCTCATTGTTGACTGCCCAACGGCATACAACGTCATCATAGGGCGAACGGCACTCACCAGGATCAAAGCCCACCTATCCCCACACATGTTGCTGATGAAGTTCCGGACACGCAACGGTACCGGAGCCATCCGGGGCGATCAGCTCAGCGCACGGACGTGCTATGCCACGACCCTTAAGTCGGTAGCCAGCAAACCGCCAATGGAAGCCATGACCTTGCAGGGACTACCGAACGGTAATGAACTCATTGACGACCCCCGGGAGGAAAACCCAACGCCGATGGCACAGCCCGCCGAGGAGCTCGAGACCATAATCCTGAACAAGGAATTCCCCGATCGGTGGGTGAAGATCGGCACCAATCTGGACCCCGACCTCCGAAGGCAGTTCATCGACTTCTTACGGCAGCATGCGGAGGTCTTCGCCTGGTCTTATGACGATATGCCCGGCATATCACCCGATGTCATCAGCCACAAGCTCAGCATCTCCCCCGCCCACAAACCAATCAGGCAAAAGCGCCGATCGTACGATGCCGAACGGTATGAGGCGATGCGTGCCGAAGTTGACAAGCTCAAAGCCATCGGCTTTATCAGGGAAGCTACGTACCCTGTTTGGCTTGCCAACTCAGTCATGGTTCGGAAGGCCAGGGGAGGATGGCGAATGTGTCAGGACTATACCGACCTGAATAAGGCTTGTCCGAAGGACAGTTTCCCCTTACCGAGGATCGACCAGCTCGTCGATGCCACCGCCGGGCACGAGCTGCTCAGCTTCATGGACGCGTATTCAGGATACAACCAGATCTTCATGGACCCTGCCGATAGAGAACATACGGCATTCATCACGGATCGCGGTTTGTACTGTTACAATGTCATGCCCTTCGGCTTGAAGAACGCGGGGGCAACTTACCAACGGCTCGTCAACCGAATTTTTGCTAAATACATCGGCGGCATCATGGAGGTATATGTCGACGACATGTTGGTAAAAAGCCGAACGGCAGGGGATCACCTGGAAAACTTGGCCCTCATGTTCGGTATTCTAAAGGACTACCGAATGCGGCTGAACCCGGCGAAGTGCGCCTTCGGTGTATCTTCCGATAAATTTCTCGGGTTCATGATCAGTCAAAGGGGAATCGAGGCCAATCCCGAGAAAATAAAAGCCATAATCGACATGGAGACGCCGAAGACGCAGAAGGACATTCAGAGCCTTACCGGACGTGTCGCTGCCCTGACACGCTTCATCTCCAAGGCTACCGATAAATGCGTGCCGTTCTTCAAAGCTTTGAAAGGGGGCAAACATCATATAACGTGGACTCCCGAATGCGACCAGGCATTTCAAAACTTGAAGAACTACATGAGCCAGGCACCACTGTTATCGAAACCGCTGCCAGGCGAGGTACTACTCCTGTACCTTTCGGTATCCAACACTGCCGTCAGCTAAGTGTTGATAAGGAAGCCGGAGAAGGCGGAGCTACCGATCTTTTATGTCAGCAAGGCGCTCCAGAGCGCAGAGCCTCGGTACCCACCCTTGGAGCAACTAGCACTGGCCCTGGTCGTCTCGGCACGAAGACTTCGCCCTTACTTCCAGGCTCACGAAATCACAGTTCTGACGAACCAGCCTCTTCGGCAGGTGCTCCAAAAGCCGGAAACATCGGGCCGATTGGTCAAATGGGCAATCGAGTTGGGAGAGTTTGACATACAGTTCAAGCCAAGGCCTGCAGAAAAAGGCCAGGCCGTTGCCGACTTCATCTCCGAGCTCACGCCGCCTGCTTTATCGGAACCATCATCGCCGAGCGTCGTCCCTACCGCACCAGAGAAAATGAATACCGAACGTTTCGACACTTCTGTTCCTCTCTGGATCCTGCACGTGGACGGCTCGGCAAACCAGCAAGGCTGTGGTGCCGGCTTAGTGTTAACCACTCCGGACGGTAGCAAAATCGAGTACGCCCTCCGATTCAACTTCCGAACCTCCAATAACGAGGCAGAATATGAGGCCCTCCTGGCTGGCCTTCGGCTAGCCCAGAGCATGAGCGCAAGGCAGATCAGCATTCACAGCGACTCCCAGCTCATAGTAAATCAGATAACGGCAGACTTCGCAGCAAAGGATGCCTCCATGTCAGCCTACTTATCGGCAGCCCACCAACTATTACAAAAATTCCAGGCCTACGAGATACGGCAGATCCCCAGGTCGGAAAATAGCCACGCCGACGCGCTCTCACGACTGGCCTCGGCCATAAATGACAAAATCGGAAGGAAGGTACCGGTGGAGATATTATCCCTACCGAGTACGACCGCCGCTGAGGTATGTACCGTTCGGTACGAAGACACATGGATGTCTCCAATCTATGCCTATTTGACAGCCGGAACCCTTCCTACCGATAAGTCCCAAGCTCGGAAACTTCGCTACCGATCGGCAAGATACACAGTCATCAACGATGTTCTGTACAAACGGGGCTACACGACGCCGTATTTAAAATGCCTGACCAAGGAGCAGGGGGACTACATCCTTCGGGAGGTCCACAGCGGAATCTGCGGTGACCATTCTGGATCCCGATCGCTCGCACACAAGGTCTTCCGGCAGGGTTATTTCTGGCCGACTCTGCACCAGGATGCGAACACACTAGTCAAGAGGTGTGACAAATGCCAACGGTTCGGTAGTGTCCCTCATATTCCTGCCGAGCCACTGTCACCGATCGTGAGCCCGTGGCCGTTCGCTCAGTGGGGACTAGATCTAATTGGTCCGATGCCAGAAGGTAAGGGTCAGGTAAAATACGCTGTTGTTGCCGTAGACTACTTTACCAAATGGGTAGAAGCCAAAGCCCTAGCAACAATAACGGCAGCCAAAGTCGAGGATTTCGTCTGGACGAATATTTGCTGCCGATTCGGCATCCCCTACGCCATCGTCACGGATAACGGCAGGCAGTTTGACTCGGAAGTCTTTAGGGAATTCTGCACCCGACTCAAGATCAACCTGTTCTTTGCTTCGCCAGCACACCCCCAATCGAACGGACAGGTCGAAGCCATGAACAAAATTGTCAAGAAGCTGTTGAAACGGCAGCTTGACAAAGCCAAAGGAGCCTGGCCGGAAAAACTTCCGGAAGCGCTATGGGCCATCCGGACATCCTACCGAACGGCAACTGGGGAAACACCATTCTCTATGGCTTTCGGTTCAGAGGCAGTAGTCCCAGTGGAGATTGGAGAGCCCTCCTACCGAACGGAAACCTTCGCACCGAAGGCAAATGAGGAAGCACTGGCTTTGAGCCTCGACTTACTCGAAGAGCACCGAGCACAAGCCAACCTTCGGAACGAAGCTTACAAGCAACGCGTCTCTCGGTACTATGACTCCAGGGTCAGATCCCGCTCTTTCCGAATCGGAGATTGGGTCATGCGGAAAGTCTCTTTGGCAACCAAGAATCCCACGAAAGGAACCCTTGGACCTTCCTGGGAGGGACCCTACAAAATCATCGGTATCCAGCGATCGGGGACTTATCGACTCAGAGACTCCAACGGAAAGACCCTCGGTCATCCTTGGAACGTAGAGCATTTGAAGTACTATTTCAAGTCATCTTGCCTACGGTAGGGTCACGGAGGAGTCACAAGAGCCTCCGGTATCTCTACAAGCACAGCCTTCGGCACTATAGCGTTTCCTAGCCAACGGCGGGTTCTAAATTGTAAGACGCACTCCCAATTGTACTCTTGCCTTCGGCAGTTTATCAATGAAAGGGCCTTCGGCTCATATATTCAGCACCTTTGTTGTACCTTTCAATCTCTCAGTTTTTTGTTTTAAAAAAAAAGAAAAAAAAAGGGGGGGGGGTACGGTAGGGACCATCGGTCGCAGCAAACTACGCATTTTGGCATCGCCATTATCCTACCGATTAAGGGGCAACTTGGTAGACTTTATTGGGCATTATAAGCTTTAGGCTTTCGGTAATTACGGGCCATTGCTTTACAATCGGCAAGCACGACAATTGGTTTCAATCCCTAACACTTGGAGCTTGTGCTTGAAAGGAAACGTCACTGGCCAACGGCCAATGACCTTTGTCTAAAAGCCTTCGGCATTAAACAAAAAAATTTCCTAAAAACGCTACCGATTCAGAAGTAAGATGCAAGAAACTTAAAGTGAAAACATAACTTTAATAAAAACATGCCCACGACATTAATTATCCAAACAAAAGATGCCAAACGACATAAGAGTTACAACGGAATTACAAAAATGCCATCGGCATCAAAATTGCATTGAGTAAAGGCTGGTAATCAGGATGAAGGGCCCTCGGCATCCGCCCCTTCGGCACCAGCAGCTTCGGGTTCCTCCGGAGCGTCCTCTCCCTAGTACTCTTCGATCATCTCTTCTGTGACGCCTTCGGGAAGGGGAGGAGGATCGGCAATGAAGTTCAAGTTGAGCTTCGTCCCAGGATTGTACGGCTTGAATCGGTAGATGAGATCCACCATCTCCGAGCCCACCTCCCTATCGAGCAAGGTAGAGAAATCGGTAGAGTGGCGATACTTCCGAATGGCCTCCTGGACGGCAGCCTCAATTTCCGACGCCTTGGCCCGCTCCGACTCCTCCAGAGCCACCTCGACGACCTCCTTTGCCTCCAGAGCCTCTTTGGCCGACAGCTGTGCCGACTCCAGGGCAGACGACAGATCTGCGAACTTGGACTCATATACCCTGACCTGCCGTTCGGCAGCTTGCAAATCCTTCGCCAGGTTCGCATGGTCCTGGATAGCCTTGCCAGCCTCGGCAACCCTGGCCCTGCCGTCGTCATAGGCCTTCTTCGCCTTCTCAGCCGCGTTGATGGCCCGCTTCATGCAAAGCCACATATCCATCGAAGCCTGCAGAATAAAGGGCATGTCAGCCAAGATGTAAAAATGATCGGTAATCTGGACCTGAAAATGTTCTGGACTTACCGATGCCTGAAGACGGAAGGCGCGACCCGCCTCCTCTCGAAGGAGCTTCTTCGGCAGCTCCTCGATCTCGTTCAGCTCCATTTGCGAACCAATGATCATGTGGTTCGCAAACTGGACCGTCTTCGGCGGACAGGCCAGGGTGACGGGATCGGCAGGCTCCTCGTCATTGTCAGCAGCGAAGATAGCCCGCGTCGGCTAGGCTTGCCGTCCGCGTTTTGGGGCCGGTTCGGCATCTAGATCAACGGTGAAGGGCTGTTTGCCGGCCGCTCGGGAGGAAGTCCCTTCGGCAGTGGGGCCTCGGCGGGGAGAAGGGCCGGCCGTTGCCGCTCCGGCTTGAGCCGATTCGGCATTGAGCTCACGGAGACGGTCGGCCAACGTCTGGTCCTCGGGGTCTACCGATGCCGAGCCCTGCGGCTGGGTTTTCTTCTTTTTCCCCTGGAAGCCCATCATGAGACGATGCTTGGAGGACTCGTTCATCCTCTTAGCCTCGGCAGCTCTCCTCTCTTCCGTCACTGTGAGAAAAAGGGTTCGGTAAGAACCGCAACAGAAGAAAAGAAACAATTGGTAAATTACGAAGTATACTTACTCTCGGCAGGATCGACCAGCTGGGCCCGGATCAGGTTGGTGGTGAAGAGGAACTGCGGATACACCCTCTCCTCGGCAGGGACTTTCCTCCTCACTCTCTCCACTTGTTGAATCTCGGCCTGCGTTGCGATCGGCTGCTTCAGCTTACCTACAAGAAGAAGAGAAAGGAAGGGTCACTTACGGTAAACAGATAACTCAGAGAAGGTACCGAACGGCACGTGGTCCTACCGGCCATTTGGAAGGTTGTGGGAATGCGAAATCGGACAGGCTGTCCCGAAGGCGACTCCCAGTCGCCCGAGAGGAGCACCCGCCGATTCCTCCACGACTTCTGTGAAGTCGGTTCCCAGCTGACAAAGTGGCCTCGATCGGCAGCCCTGAGGCAGTTCGCCTGCACCCACCCGCCGTGATCGGCACACTTGGACTTGGTAACGCTGTACAGATGGGAGAACTGCTTGTAGGAGGGGCTCCCTTCGCCAGCCATGCCGAAGGCCGTTATCACTCCCATAAGGGCCACCCAGAAGTTGGGGTTGAATTGCCCCGGGGCGTAGCCGATCTAGGCTAGAATCCTCTGTACCGCCGGCTGTAACGGCAACCGAACGCCTTGCACAAGGACGTCGGTAAAGAAAACTACCTCGCCGTCCTTCGGCGCACTAAGGGATTCGGTAGGGCCCGGGATCCTCATCCGTACCGAGTCGGGAATGCGGTATTCTGCTCGTAATTTGGCAATCTCCCTATCGGTAATCTTGTTCGGCCCAAGATAGTCTACGCCGAATAGATTTTCCTTCGGCACCCCCATAGGCATCCTAGGGTTGCTTGGGTACACTACCGATACCCTGGGCCCAGACGGCGGATTGGCTACCGACTCTCCACGGCCGGAAGTGGAGGTCTCCGACTGACGACTACCGCTCGCCTCCCCAAGCATACCGAGGCCCACGTGGCGGCCGTCACTGTAGACGATGGACAACGGGATGGGGGCGGTCATTAGCCCCTTTCCGACTCCGTGCGTTGGAATAGAGCTGGGCCCTTCGCCGAGTATCTCGACGTCGGTATCACTCCCATCCTCGGCATCAGGCCCTGCCGCTTCGCCGTCGGAGTCAAAGAGACCATCCGATGACTCCTCGTCGAACGCATTGGGCTCGCGCTCGGAGAATGACTCGCTATCAGACATCTATAAAAACAGGAAAAAGGGAAACTAAGGCTCATGCCGGACGCTATCCTACCGATCCCTACATCGCTACCTATGGCGACTAGACTACCGAATGGGACCCTATGGTCAGTCTAGTTCGAACCAAGGAAGGACGTAACCCTTAAAGCATGCAACAGATTAAAGAAAAGGGTGCCGAACGGTACCTTAAGGTGTGCCCTGGATGATAAGCGCGATCTGCTCTTCAGGATGCTTCACTACCGTTCGCAATACCGGGAATCGCCTTTCCTACCGTTCGAAACGCCGGAGATCGCCTGTTACCGTTAACACTCGCCGGAAATCGCCTGATTACCGAAAGCCCTCGCCGGAAATCGCCTCAAACAGAGCTCTCACTTCTCACTAGATGCAAAGTGAGTTCGCCTCCGGGGTCATCTCTATTTATAGGGGGAGTGGTTGGCAACGGTACTCCTCGAAAAACCAAACGGCGCATTAATGCGCCGCGCGCCATCATCACTTTCGCCACGTGTCGCTCACCCTAAGGAGAACTGACGGCACGCGAGGCGCCGAAGTCGAAGCGCTCAGACGTCCCTTCACCCGTCAGCTCGACGCGACCTTCTGACTTCACCAACGTCAGCCTCTGAGCTGGTAGTGCCGGAAGGGACAAAGTTTGGCCCCTTCCCCAGGTGGGGTTATCGAACGGTAAGGCCGTGATTCCTCCCGAGGATGGCTTCAAATCCCCTTCCGAAGACTCTCGTAAGGGGACTTGGGGGACTCCTGTTTATACCAAAATGAACAGCCAATGAATATCAAACACGTGGACCAAACCAGGGCTACTAGTGCCTTCGGCACTCACCTTCGGCACCGAACCTACCGATCGCAACATTAGGGAAACCTCGCCTCCTAGGACGCGTGGCGGTCTCACAACTGATACCCAGAGTCCCACATCGAAACTCTAAACAAATTGCACACCTCCCAAGGCCTATAAAAGAGGACGTCCGTCCCAGCTTGAAGGTAATCAATCAGAACTTACGGCATACTGCCTATTGATCTGCAGTTCAAACTTACTAAATCCGTACTTATTTAAGCATCGGAGAGCCTTCGGCCGGTACCACACCGGTGCCCTAGGACTTACCGTGTGTTTGCTATCTTACAGATCGCACACCCTACCGAGGACATCAGATACCGAAGAGACTTAATCACTAAGTTGCGCGGGAAAGTGCCGAACCATTTTTCTGCGTCAACATCTCCTTTAATATATTTTCTTCTGTTTATGCCAATAGGTGAGACTAAAACAAAGTTATTGATTTTCTCCATTTGCAGCACGTTTTGCCACCTGTTCTTTAAACTCGGGCCAATATTTAATTTGCTGTCAATGAATTTTTTTTATTTCAACAGCTATACTCATCATTCTTATGTACTTGGAAGGACAGGCCACCAATCAAAACTGAAAAGTTACCTCACGCTAATAATAATCACTACTTGTTGCTCTGGCAAATTGGAAATAGCAACTGTCAAATTGAGCCTCCTGAAAGTACTTCCACTTTCTGACAAAAAAAGTATTTCCAGTTAACTTAAAATTTAAATGGGTAAAAATATTGGGCCTTATCGTACTGTGTTCGGACCGACTCGATTCATTTGACACCACTATTCCTCATATTGTCACATTAACCCGCCCATGAATAGTGATGGGCCGGACCAGCCCATAATGTGAAAAGTATAGTCGGATTCAGAATAGTCACCAGGCTTGTACCATTTTTACACGCCTACATATGAAAATCTATACCCTAGATTCTCATTTCTCCAAAATTTCTTCTTCTCGCCTCTGCAGCCTCCTCATCTCTGGTCGCTTACCTGCCGGCACCGGCGGACGCCTGTTCTGGAACTTCAGTTCCAATGGAAGCTTGATTCAAATAATTCAGTTTGTCCGTGGTTTTCATAGGACAAGGACATTGAAATGACGGAGGTTGGGTATGGATCAAATCAGTCTAGAGGAGCAACAAGATCCGCCACCCCATTACGGCGTTGCAGCCTCTCAAGAGTTCCAGAAAGGTCGTTGATATCATTGAGGTAAGTTTCAACTTTCCCCTTTTCTTTTCTCTGTTAATGCTGGGAAAAGAGTATTTCTTATTTAAAAATAAAAATAAAAATAAGTAATTTGTGTAGTTTCCTATTTAAAAAAGGGAGTATTTATTACTTATTCTTATTTTTCTTGTTGCAGTGGGAAAACAGTTTCCCTATTCTTAACCAATTTGTTTCTATTGTTAGTATAAAGAGGCCACTTAACATCACATGCGTACAATTATACCTGTAGTTTCTTCGCTTGTTCTTCTATTCTCCCTTTTGTTTCTGTTTCAAAGTATAATTTCGTAAGAATTCAGTATAATGTCCGGTTTTAACTCTAATAAGAACCCCTGTTGTAGGACCCCAGTTAGCTTCAGCTGTGGGGGATGGGCAAGTCTTCCCGTGCTCGTCTTTTTGATTCTGGATAATTTATTAGAACCCATTGACCATGTTCGTTTTGCTGCTGTTTGCAAGCAATGGCGTTCTATGTCCAAACTCTATAATCAAGCAACGCAACGGTGGCGCAATAAACAACTTGCCCCCATGCTCTTGATCCCAAACCAGGACGATGACCACCGAAGAGTAGTGTACAGCATTTCTGAAGGAAGAGTTTATAGCAATATTCGGCTGCAAGTACCTTTTAGCAGGAGGTGTTGTGGCTCTAGCCATGGCTGGTTGGCCACAGTTGATACAACAGAGCAAGGATGTCCGGTGGTAGTACTCAGGAACCCTTTCACAAAAGCAAAGCCCATCTTTCTCCTCCCTTGGATATCCTTATCGCAAAGTACGAAACCTCTTACCATGAGCATTACGTTCGTAAGGTTATCTTGTCCGTTGACCCCACTATGAATCCAGAGAATTATGTGGTTGTAGCACTTTGCGGTCGCTGGCCTATGTTGGCTTTCATCAAGGCAGGTCAAAACACTTGGACTTACCCCAGCCCAAATGGTAACTTTGGTGATGTTATATTCTATAAAAGCAAAGTGTACGCACTTGAAGCCATGGGAGACATTGAGTCATTGGATGTTTTTAGCAGTGATAGTAACCCTTCACAGCCGCCACAACTGAAGCCACGCACACCTTTTCGGCCATTTGAACCTTATTGTTTTCATGCATATCTTGTGGAATCAATTAAGGGAGATTTGTTGCATATCTTAAGATTTTATGCGTTAATTGATGGTAGGTTCAACTATGGTGCTGGGCGGCGGACTACGCACTTCATGATTTACAAGTGGGTGTTTGACAATGAAGATGAAGGATCTATTGGGCACAATGTTGAGGTGAAAAGCATTGGAGATGAGGCTCTGTTCGTGGGCGACAATCATTCAATCTCTATTTGGCTTCAAACCTTCTTGGATGCCAACCAAATTCCATATATTACAGCGATGATTACATATCAAACTATCCATCCTTAGAGGGTGATGAACCATATGATATGGGTATCTTCAACTTGGAGGACGGAACCATCACACAACATTACTCTCTACACTCCAATTCGCAGAGAGCGATTTGGGTTGTGCCGCCATTAATGGACTATTTTAGCTTCTAAAATATTATGATGTTCTTCCTTTTTCTTTATGTTTCATAAGAATAATTACATATATATATATAGAATATACATAGTGATAATGTATATAATGTCCCAATTCTATTTCTTTGCTTTATCTATTTGTGTTGATTTCAATTAATTTTAAATAATCGAAAGTGATTAAAAGCGATTATAATTCCAATAAAAATAAATTTATTTTTTAATATATATTATAATTATATATTAATATTATATTAATTATATTATATATTAAAAGAAGGGTTCGTTGAAAATATTATATATTAAAAGAAGGGTAAATATTTAATTTCCTCCAGTTTCCATATCGTATATTAATCGATCCATCACTTACCAAAGATAAAACAGTTGGCCTTAAATCCACCATGTTTTAGTTTCTTCATAGGTCATAGGCTAAGTATTTAGTGCCAACTTCACTGTCCACCCCTGCAAATTGGAACTAACTAATATGAGAAAACCACATAAAATATGTTGTAGTTCTAAGCATGAACCATGCATGTTACTTTACTTCTTTTGCTTTTGTTTAAAATTGTAATTACCATGGCCAAGGATGGTAGAGACTTCTGGGAGAAGAAGAGTGCGTGAGGAGATAGAGAGACAGGGCTCCTGGTGTAAATGGTGAAGGAGGTTCCAGTTAGATATATACATATATATAACAGAGTGAGCAGCATTGTACTTCATATAATAATAGGCAAGGAATTAATGTTTTGTTAAGAGCATAAAATATTACGCCATCATCCCAATGCCAATGCAATCTAATTAGTGGTAGCATCCAAAAACAGTGTCACACAATTTGCAAGACCAAACCAGCATAAGCCGACGGACCGGCCGTGATCCAACACCGATCTCAATCAAGGTAGCTTCGACAGCGAACGGCTCTACCTTAATTTATACACCAATCATACGTTCTACTATACAGAAATTAAAAAATATACAAATGTCGTTTTCAAACATGTGATGTGCAACTACAAGGGGCAACATTAGACGACAAATTACTGAGCAATATGAAAGGTAGAACCAAAGATAATTAGTTGGAGAGAAGTCCCCAAAGGTGACCACAGTGAATCTTTGTTTAGATGCCCTTTTTCCTTTTTTGTTGCTTTTGGGGGTGTGAGATTCTGGCTGCTCATGAACGGCCTTCAGGGCATCAGATGCTTTGGTGGCTTTCTCATTTGAAGACCGTAGCTACCCAACAAAAAAGGTCCAAATCTACCTCCCCTCGCCCTTCACATGTCTGAGTTCCAAAATCTCTTTGCCTCCAAAGTTTATACAAACTGAGTTGCATCATTGATTTCACATTCAGTACTTATCACATTCGTATTTTCGTCAATTTTTAATGCGCTTGGCCTTCTGAACCAGTATGATGTTTATTAAATCTCTACATACAAGAGCTTCAATCTAGTTGGTTGTAAATATTACACCATATTCCTTTCTAATAATGCCAGCATTTGGTTGTGAAGTTACAGCAAAATTTTCGATGCAGATTTCTAATTTACCTCACATGAATTTGCTACAATATTCAATAACAAATGTAGACAAAATTTGGAGTTGATAACATGAATATCGTAGACAAAATCTCTTGAAGACGATGCCAATCACTACTGAATCTTGAGCTTACAAAAGATAATAGGTCTATGTGAGTGCTGAAATCTCTAACGGCACATGTTCAACTTCCTCAGTCCCTTGGATGTTACAAAAAGTTAATAACTATATACATGAAAGCGGATACCCATGACTCACCCAATAAATGCAGCACCATATCGGAGGCCATCAAAAGCACACCTGAAGAAAAGTTTGTTTTGGGTCATGAAACATAAGAGCGCAAAAGATGAGAAAACAAAGTCCACAGAGAAAACAAATTTATTACAGAAAGGTTCAACTCTAGATACAAATGAAACTACTACTTTTTGTAGGAACAAAACCGAAGGGATTACAGAACCTAACACAAAATGCGCTGAAAAGAGAAATCAGAAAACATGAAAGCGTCAAAGTGGGAACAAACAACAAACCAATGACCAGTGCAGAAAACAGGCACACAGCAAAAAGGCTCCACTGTGTTACAGGAACAGGATCAAGCATCCTATTCCAACTGCCTCCATCTTTGACATCCAGTTCTATGTTATCCAGCCTCATTATGCATTGGCCTGTCAAAAGGTGGAACAGACTTCTTACATATACCAAAAGTTTCAGAAAAAGAGCAAAAGTTATTTTTAAAAACCTAACGTGTAATCCAATGAAACAACTTCTATGACTGAACAAATATCAAAATTTAAATAAATAAATAAAACAAGTCATGCAGAAAGGTGAATGCAAAAGTCTTGCATTCATGCAGAAAGAGAGTTTATTGGCCAAAAAGATTCCATTCATTAGAAAACTAAAGCACCAAAAATGTAAATACACGCACCTCCAATTATGAATGCTAAAACAACCCAGGGGCCCTGTCTTCCCAACAGAATAATGATTGTTGAGCTCCATGCAGAAAACATGGCGACTGTTTTAATATACAAGAGATTGCTGTGATCTGAGGATTTCCTTTTACTGAACAGCTGATTAAATGTCAATAATAACAATTGTCCAAATCCAATGGCATATATTAGTCTAGGAATATAACTTCTTCCAGTGCCTTTAAGCACCCAAGCCAGATTCAATCTGTCACTTTCTGAAGCCCAATGCACTGCTATTGGTATATAACTTAAATTAGTTCCCATGATAATATACTTCCAAATACCCTTTGAAGAGCTTCCAGTAATGGCCTCACGCAGCAAGAATGCCAATAAAAGCAGGGCAACTACCAGTAAAGCTTCAGCAACAAAATTCCAAATTGGAAACCCTGCAGCAATCCCGAGCATCCATGAAGGATATGCATTCACAAATTCAGAACTAGGAGCCTGCTTCGACAATCCAACTTCAATAGTAAATCTGCAAATGGTGATCAGAAGAAGGAAAACAAATGCCTGCAATTATATCAGTGAAAATGATCATTACAAGAAACCATATCTCTATTTTCTGTCAGTTACACCATCACATATTTCTTCATATAAAACAATATGTTTGCAATATTCGATGAAAGGGTCTCGGTGGGGGAACAATTATAGAAAACTGAGGTAAATAAACAACTTACTTCTAATATCATCTTCTTCTTCATGATTGAATATCGCATCTTAACTAGTGCAGATGTAGCCAAAACAAAGCATGCCACTTTTCCTCCTTCCACTGCTCTCAAAGTTCCCATCAAAGAAAAAAGAAGAAAAGAAGAAAAAGTTAATTTCCCAATGTGAGCATTAACCATGGATTGTGTGCATCATACAGAAATGAACAGTACCTATTACTTAATGATGAAACTATTCGAGGAAGCTGCATGCACGTATGACCACCATAAAACAAGAAAAATCAACCCGAAGGAAATCCCAGAATCTCCAGATGAAGTAAAAGAAAAACCAATTGCTCCTTCACTTTCTTAATTGCAAGGAAGTGGATAAGAAGTGATATCAACATAATTCCAAGTCCAGTACCCATCATCTTTAAATTAAACTCAGTCCATTTGGAGCGGGCAAGTTCAGCAACACTTGCTAGGAATTCAGAATACAAATCAATTTGCCTCCTTAGAGCAGGCAATAACTCATTGTGGCTTTCCTTTTTATGTAGCAGCAACTTCTGTGTAGTATGTGACCATTTTTCCTCTGCTTTTGCATACATGCTTGCTACGTGCAACAAGTCTTCATTGGAAAATCCAATAACAGTTGAAGCTGAAGAATATCGATGTATCTTTTTACCTAAACAACAATAATCCAACTGTTATTTAAAAAATGATACTGGAGGGTCAAAATTTTCTTTTGCTGTCAAATCACATTAAGGCTATAGATGATCAGCTACTTGATTTGGTATCTGTTTATTTCACTCTCAATGTCCAAGAAGAGACAAATTAAGGCTTCATCTTCATGATCATGAAGCTAGCATTTCTACTGCCCTTTCTCATTGAAGTGCTTTTAGCTAATGGGTTAATTGCATTTTAACTGTTAATTCGGGGACGACAACAACTATTTTTTGGAGTTTAGGGACGAAAATGTAACTAGGGGTATAGTTTAGGATCATTGCTACAATTTAGTCTATTTGATTTGTATTTCGTTTTTCAAAAACCCATCTCAAGGTTCTTTGAGTTGGTGTGCCCAACAATCGTATACAATAGAACTTAATTATAACATGATCTTGGAAATTACTATCAATGTTAAGGCTCAAGGCTAACTTTTAAACATACAATAGTGCCCACAACTCAGCACATAGAACTTGACCAATATGCATACCATATAATTTAGCTGAAAATCCAGCAACCCAATTGTCATTTATAGTTTCATTTAAGACCACTATATAGCAGCGATAATATGTCCGAAGGAACTGAGTCTGATATATTTGGATTTGAAGAATATATAATATGTCCATTGCACCTAAATTGGCCCTTTGTATGGTGAATCATCTATATGCGTTGTGGCAACATGCTCTTGGCTTTACATGAATCCAATGGCGTAGTCAGAAATTTAAGAGATATTTAGTGATATACCCATTCTTAGCACTAATATTATAAATAAACCCTACACAATTGAATTTCTATAAACATACCCAAAAAAACCCCAAAAAATGACAGCTGGCCTTATTAATTTAATATTGATTATTAAATTACTTTGATGTCCTATTGAGTGTTTTGGGTATTTTTATGAGATTTTGGGGTTGAGCTTGTTTTAAGAAATTGATGGCAGTTTTGTAATTTATAAGAAGTTAAAAGCTTTTTGTTATGTTGTAAATGGGCTTTGGGTGTGTTTCTAAAGTCCATTTCATATGGGGTATTTTTATAATTTGGGCCTCTATATTGGGTATAATAGTGAATCTCCCAAATTTTAATAGGAGTGGTTAACCTTTTTTTTTTTTTTTTTTTTTTTTTTTATTGGGATATCTTTTTCTATTATTTGTTTTTTTTTTATTTTTATATACTATTATTAAATCATAACATCCATCATACATAAGCCAAGCTTTAGGAATCAAAAGTAACTTGAAAGAACCAGAAATTCAGAAAAGAACACATAAGAATCTCAGCAAAATTGATATGTTCAAAAAATTTAGTAAAGAAATATATGAGAAATTATAAAAGTATTGAGATTGGTTTATAATACCATCATAACAATATGGATTGAGGTGAAGAAAGATTGTAGCAAAAAGAAAAAGAATTATAGAGAAAAGGTTCATAGAAAAAAAAAACCAGAACCTCATGCTTATATTTTTCATAAATTAAAAAAAAGCAATTTAAAGGAAAACAATGAGTTGCATCAGACAAAATGGAGCAAAACAAAGAGGATTTTTTTTTTTTTTTTTTTTTTTTTTTTTTTTTTTTTTTTTTTTTTTTTTTTTTTTTTTTTTTTTTTTTTTTTTTTTTTTTTTTTTTTTTTTTTTTTTTTTTTTTTTTTTTTTTTTTTTTTTTTTTTTTTTTTTTTTTTTTTTTTTTTTTTTTTTTTTTTTTTTTTTTTTTTTTTTTTTTTTTTTTTTTTTTTTTTTTTTTTTTTTTTTTTTTTTTTTTTTTTTTTTTTTTTTTTTTTTTTTTTTTTTTTTTTTTTTTTTTTTTTTTTTTTTTTTTTTTTTTTTTTTTTTTTTTTTTTTTTTTTTTTTTTTTTTTTTTTTTTTTTTTTTTTTTTTTTTTTTTTTTTTTTTTTTTTTTTTTTTTTTTTTTTTTTTTTTTTTTTTTTTTTCCCCCGTCTGATCCTCTTTCTCATTTTTCATCATCACGTATCTGCTAATAGTTTCATTTGTTGCAGTCCACGTAGAGCCTCTTCAAGATTCACAGTAGCCTGGCATTGAATTGTGAACACAGATTGGAGCCATCAGCACCTCCGATTTTAAATATCGAAGTTTTGGAAGCCCTGGTCCAGCGCGTCATGTTCTTCACGTTTTGACCTGTAGAATCCCATATGTTACAAACTTTTTGTAAATGAAAAATCTGGAACTGCCCTGCCCATCCCTAACCATATGCCTTTCAGATCAATAGAACACATCTCCATTTGCTCGTCGTAGTTTCACTTCTTCTAGATTTTGTAACCATAAAATGCACTTTGATGGAAGACTGCTCTTTCAAAGCTTCTAGAAGGTTGAATGCTCAGCGATATTAATTTCCTACCACTTTGTCCTTAGACCCATCCGTTACCTGAAAAGATTCATAAGTATAAATATTTAAAGAAACATGTTGTATATTCAAAATGAAATATACAATCTCAATATATTAGTTAATTCCTTCAATAATGACTTCATGATTAAACTATGAAGAAAAAACCATTTAATCGGATGACTAGTCAGTTTCTAAATTACTTTCAATTTCCAGACAAAACCCTCCTCTGCTTTGCAGAATTCATAATCACATCGCTAGACTTTGTGATCTCAGGTCATACAAATGAAAGGTTTAACCAACGTAAATTCCGTTGCTTCTTTAGATAGTGTGAGATTTCAATTCTATCTAGTAATGAGACCATTAACAAATCAGTCAAAAATTTTTACAAATAACTATGAAGGGACTAATTATTATATTTTTTATTTGTGTTCGCACCTGCGCAATGTTTTATGTTTTTATTTTTTTATTTTTTTAGTTTTTGGTAAAGGAATAAACTAGATTCCTCAGTTATATCAGTATAGAAGATTTCAGTTGTTATAGGAAGAAACTTGAGTAATATACGATTCAAAGCTAAATTCGGCCTCATGGCAGTAACCAAACAAATAAAAAATTATGAAGGCACAAACAATTAACAAAACATATACTATAAAGCATCCGAAATCCATAATTTATAATGTAACCTACTCATTTGTGTTTGGCTGCGTAAACCAACAATTCATCAGATCGATCTTCGAATGTCTCACTTGTTAATTTAGGGAAAGCTCCTATGTCCGATGCCGTCTCATTTTCCCTCCCATCCTTTGAACGATTTCTTTCATTTGGGGACAAATGCCACCACTAATCTTTGGGCGTTGAACCAATGTGCTTGCTAACTGCAGAGAAAAGACATATTTTCAAAATAGGGCAATATATTAATTCAAGAGATCTTAAGTTGAAAAAAGCTCTGTGGACGTATGGTCGTGGCATATTGTCTTTTGTTAGCTTGGGCATCGAAACGCGTAGGATTGATTGATGAGAGGAAGGCTGTTTGTTGAGGTCCAACTTCTCCATTACAAGGTGATTCTATCTCAGGCAACCTGAATTCTTAAAACTTTTAAGTGTTTGCAAATCCCCTTGGTTCTATATGCATTGAGGGACCATACTTTAAATTTCTTTAATCCTTCCCAGATTACATCTTCAATTTCTTAAAAAGAACGAACAATTTGCATCTCCATGAATTCTGTTGCATCCCTTCGAAAAAATCCAACTTATTTTCCGCATGCATAACAACCAGTACTTTTGATTGACCTCCAAAAAGCTCTCCATGACAATCTGTTGGATATGTGGAATCTATTGTTGCCCGGCTGCTGTCAGTAAAATCTTTGGAAAGAAGTTTGAAATGGGTTAATGTATGCTAAAACCTTAAAATGATTAGAAAAAGACATCACCTCAACAAGCGCTTTTCCATCCTCTATCTTCGCTTTCTGTAGTGATTGTTCCCATTTGCAACAAACATTTTTCCTATACACTCTTCAAGGACATAAGCTCTATAAGAGACCATGGGACTTGCAAGACGATCACAAATCCGTGTAATCTAACAACCTAAGGTTTTAAGAAGTCCATTTCTCGGCAACTCCTAAGATCTCTAGTAGCATTTACAAGCTGAGGATCTCGAATTTTCCATCTTCCCAATAGCATCAGATGATGATCTATTAAATCTAACAACCATTGGAGGGACAGGTGTCGACGCTCTCAGTAGTCCTAATGACCTCGGCACGTCGGATATCCCACCCATGTCCTACCAATGCTAAACCTTCACTCTTTATCATCCGCTTTACACTGAGTCCATGCTATTTTTCCGAAGAAACTTCGCCGTCCTAAGTGTAGAAGCCAAGTTTTGACAATCCAGACCAACTGGGATCTCATCAATATTACGGTATCCGTGAGATTGTTTGTTATGGTCTAATCTTTGGCCACCCTGTTTTTTTTCAGCATCACATCTTATTGAAATCTATGTGGATCTCTTGAGCCATTTGTATGCAACATCACGAACTAGTCATCATCTTGGATGCTCTTCCGTGTGCCATCTAGCGAACAAAACCTTCTTTGAAGTTGTGTCATAATCAAAGAATGTCACATCTATTTCTTGCTTGCTTTCCACCGAATCCGCGTTACTAAAACCCTCACCCCACCCAATGCAACCAAATACGCATTGGAATAGCATAATCTTCCAGGAAATAAACAAAAAGCAAAAGGCGATGATTTCTCCTTCAGCACTCTCCAATCTATTCTCTCATCCATTGTAATGCTTGAATAAAACTTTGTCATTCATCGAACAGAGATGCCCTTCCAAGGAGCTAAACTTTGTACTGTTTGAGGGCATCATCCCTACATCGTCCTTTATTTTCGAGTGCTTTCGCAACAGTTAAAATGCAATAGGTAAAACCTGCACACCATTCGTGACCGGTTTGCCAAATCCGGATATCCAGGGTTTACCTAGCTTTCACAGAAGAGTTCACCTCCTCTGGTGTTAACCTGGGATGATTGTAAAATTCTTGAACTTCCCATTGCA